CCGGGGGGGGGGGGGGGGGGGACTTCATCGACGTAAGTGCTTGTGGATCTATAGGATGTCATCTCATCCTCCATGGCCTGTATCCACTTGGCTGCCCAGGCCCCAACACCGCCCAAGTGTAAGAGCGCAAGACAGGAATGTCAAGAGCGTCTAGGTCGCACTCTAGGGATACAAGCATGGAGCAAAGATGGGGTACAGCAGCAGCAAGGTAGGCCAACTCGTACTGCCTGTCCTCTAGCACGTCACTGCCAAGGGCAGGTGCACCTCCGATGGACGGAGGACGGGTGGTACCAGAGACTAGAGTGGCAGTGTAGTCAAGGCGGTGGCTAGCAGCGAAGTCAACGATAGCAGCGACAAGCGTAGAGACGGTCTTAAGTTGTAGTGGACGAAGTCACCATGCTCGTCGATTGAGCACAAATCCATGGTCGTGGTTGAGGAAATATGGGGATTTTTGTGCTCAACCCATTGAATCCTCTTCCATTTCCAATGGGTCAGTTGATGAAGTTGACGGCGGCTCCAGTGTTCTCATTCCGTCAATTTGACATAACCAGCTCATTGACGTTGTTGTCATTTCAGCTTCCCAGCATTGATATTGAATCTGCTCTAATTCTGCTTGTAGGGGTGCCATTGCAATTATGTGGATTCCTCTATTCATAGTGGCCTCGGCGCTCTGGATCACGTCTATCTGCTTCCATGGAGGTGATGATGTTGATGGATTGGTTGGTGACGCATGTTTTATGACTTGGATTGAAGTGATTGATAAGGACTCGAAGATCCTCGTAGTCCTCCCATCCTCATAAGAATCTCTATTTTCTGAGCTCATGAGGGCATGTGGCATAACCATATTGGTACATGGCATAGTGGTATCTCCATTCCACTAGCTGGAAATCATAGATGTAGTGCCAGGTTGGGTCTTGAAATCATGCTGGAATATGATGCAGTGTCATCTTCACAATTAGGAGGAATATCCATCAGAGTTTGGTGTCGCTGCAATCCGTCTACTGCTGCAGCGGCGGCAGTGGTAGGCACTCGCGTCTACAGCTGCTGCAGCTCTTTAACTCATAACGGATTGAAGAAGAATCCATCCACCCCCTCTTCTGTGTAGAGTTTTCCTAATGGGTGTAACAGTTGTAGCTACCAGGAAACAAATGCACCTTAATGTGCAGGTATCACTCCATTACTGTCCGTGATTGGCTCTTTTGAGGGTATAAAGATTTCTTGCTTCTCCCGTCATTGTATCCACGAGTAGCAAATGTCTGGTATGCTGATCCGTGCTCCCGATGTGAGGTTGGTAGAGCGTGTAATTATCTTGTTGCAAGTTGTATCTCCCTCACTTATCGAAATCGTCGTGTTGCTGGGTGTTCTCCTGCGTCGTCGAAGTCACACCGAGACATGGAACACTTCGGCTTCTGGTAGAATCTCCTTCAATACATGTACCATAAGGTCGTTGGGGAGCGAGTACTTGCCGGATTTGAAGTTAAATACTCCTCAATATGTCCAGCATCATGTCATGCACATGATGTTTGCATGCATGCCATGAACACCTCGAATTGCAGTCACATGATTAGGATGTCGTCTTTTGAGGTTGATATCAAACTGCTCCAATCTATCACTCCGGATGGCTGAGATTCATTGTGACGATGAATCGATCAGCTCTTGTTACGAAGTAGTGTCTCGCTATCCCTGACGAGACGTAGTAACTGCGTAATTTTTTGCATGCGAAATCTGCTCCTTCGTATCAACTTTTGCTTGGCCAAGATTTTGCAAGAGAAACTTGCTACTTCTTTGCAATTTGCAATATCACCATTTGTTGAACTTACTTTCATTGTATAATAGTAGTTTTATGCAGGTATATTTTGTTGTCCGATTCGACAACGGACATTGATGTCTTTAAATGTCCGTTGTCGAATAATCGGACGCGCACGAACCATCTGCGGCTATCGAGGTGCTGTTTCCATACTTGCTGAAACTAGAATTCCATCAGCTCAGGTTCGTTTCACCTTGGACGATCTAGAGCGTAAAAATCGAATCGGACGGCTGTCGCAGTTTGTCGCTGGCGCAACTCCAAGATTCGTGGCGCAATAGGAATTTTTTGGAAAACGTCACAGGGTAAGTTCCACCAACTACCGTCGATCGCTTCGGAGGGCAGAAAATACTTCAAATTTTGATGGAGGTACCTCGGGGAGCGTCTTCTCATTGGCGAGGGTCATGTGCCCCCTCCAAAAATCAGCTCCGTCGATATTGAGAATCAAACGGTTGTCGGTGGTGCTCGCCATCGATGGGGACCCTAGGTGCAACTTCTCAAGGTTAGTCAGAACTTAGTAAGAAAATATGAATTCACTTACGCGATCGAAAATTTCGACTCCATCCTCCGCATACTCCTAGAGGCCCAACGGCTTGGCATTGATTGGAATCCTTGGGCTCTGATTACCAAGCGTTATAGGTCGAAGATATAGCGGAAGCTTGAATGAATGACTAACAAGAATTGAATGAATATAAGCAAAGAGTCAATGCTATGTATACCTACAAGAACTCAAGGCAAGGGTAACTAGGGCCTTCTAAGAGAGTTATAGTAATGAGTGGAACTGTCCCATAGGAACAACATCTAGAAGCGGTAAGGATTCTAGAGACACAGTCACGGTGACGGAACACTCTACGCAATAGAAAATGTGTCACACAAGGAAAGTCTGAAACACTATAAAACATATGACATAGAATGCATCAATGTGTAGGGAAAGAATAGGGAAAGAATGAAGGGATTTCCAGAAAATTAAAAAAACACACAAAACACACACAATAAGTAGCAAATAGCAAATGGTTGTGATCGAGGATTTGGCAAGCCTCATCTTCTCACAAACAGAGATTGGAGGAGCACGAGAACGAAGGACCATAGGGTGGACACTAGGACGGGGAGAGACAGGACGAGCAACAGAGGGACAACAGACCCAGTGAGGAAGAACAGGGGACTGGGGACGATGGGGGAATGGGGACAGGACAAGGGACGAAGGATAGCACGGGGGGAAACGAGTCGGGGAGGAGTCTGGGGGAGGAAACAGCGGGCTGTAAATAGGGGCACGCACCAGAGGAGGGACGGGCGGTTGGTCAGGGGAACGGGGAGCAAGACCAAGTAGACAAAGAGCGGATTGTGGCTGCTGCTGCTGTAGTGGCGGCTACTGCTGCGGCTGCTGCTGCTCTTGTCTGTCCTCTCCACGACCTCCAGCTCCACCTCGGCTACCACCGGCACCCTCCCAAACAGCCCTCCCAGGACTAGCACCCCCGGACATACCACTCACAAAACCAGCACCCCCTGAGTCAGCACCTCTAGAACTAGCATCCCCAGAACCAGCACCCCCAAAACCAGCACCAGCAGAGTCCACGGCCTGCTGCTGAGGCTGCTGCGGCAGCTGCGGCTGCTGCTGAGGTAAGGGAGGAGGCAGCTGAGGGGCCTGGGGTACCGATGCTGGGGAAGGCGCCACCAGGACAGCAGGTGCACCCCGAGCAGTTGGGCCCCCAGAGTGAGCCGACTCCCCCGCAGGCCCAACCGAGGGGAGCGGAGTGGCATGGGAGACACGAGACGGGGCCGGGCAGGGTGGGAGGGGTGCGTCAGGCAGGGTAGGAACGAGGAAGAGTGGAGGAGGCGGAATAGAAAGACTACGGCAAGGGAAGCGCCTATATTAGGGGAGCATCTTGTCGAAGGTAATGTCACAAGAGCGGTAGAAGCAGTGGTGTGCCAAGTGGTAGAACAGCCAGTTAGGGGCGTCAAGCAGAAACTCTAGGAAGACAAAAGGAAGGGTGCGGGCTGAGAGCTTGTCTGCGCCAGTGGGACGGATGTAAGCAAGGCTGTCCCAAACGTGAAACGCAGACGCGTCACCAGGAGACCCGGTCCAGAGAAGGATCTGCGAAACTTGTGGCCGATGGGAGTGCGGCTATAGGTTAAGCTGGTGAGCAGCGTAGCGTACAGCGAACGGCCACAGAAATAGGGTGCACCAGCATGGACCATGGAGGTGCGAGCTGCCTCCATGACCAGGCTAATGCGTCGCTCAATGACCCTATTTTGCTATGGGGAGTCCAGCAGTGTGTACTGTACGTCTGGCGGATGCCCTTCGCATGACAGAACTGTCATAGAGTGCCAGAGGCGAACTCGCCACCACGGTCAAAGTGTAAGTGGACTACTCGCAGGCGGTGTTGGGCATGAACAGCAAGAAGCCACAGGAGGAGAACGGTAGGCACGTCGGCCTTCCACTCCAACGAAAACACCGTATGGAACCGCGAGAAGTTGTCAACGATGACTAGGAAGTGGCGCTCTCGATTAAGACCATGGAATGGGGCAGGGCCCCAGACGTCCATATGCAATGTTTATAGCAATGGTGTGGAAGGAGGAAACGAGGAGGAGTGAAGGGCGGCGTGCTGCCGGCCCTCGATGCAAGAGGTGCACAGTGGTGCTACCGATGCCGGCAGAGCGGTGAGCGACACGGGGAGTCTAGTGACTAGAATGTGCTGGGACATGTGCCTAAGATGCGGGAGTGCAGGGTGACCTAAGCGGTGGTGCCACAGTAGGGACGGGTGGGTGAGGGAGCAACAGGAGCACGACCAAGAGTGGCAGACGATGGGGTGAAGTACCTAGCAAGGATCGCCGTCCAGAGGCTAACGCAGGCTAACGCAGCACCTACAAAGTGGGATTGCTTGTCAACCAGCTGGCACCAGAGGATGGCGACACGAGCAGTGGCGTCGCGGGATGCCCAGACCGAGTAGGCGGTGCGGGCAGCAGCGTAGGCAGCCTGCTGCGCGGATGTCGCGTCAGCAGCAAGAGCGCCCGGGCGGGGAGGCTGAGGGAGCTCACCAGAGACGTGGGCGTCGAGGGACACGTCGTCAACACGCTGGCTGGCCAGCAGCAGGAGGACTGTCTCCTGCCAGGTGGGAAGCCGACCGCCCGCCCCTCCCCATTCAGGTGCAGAACGAAGATGCTGGGCGCCGACATGCTGGCAGCTGTGGTGGTAGCTGCGGCCATGAAGACTGTTGCAGCAGCAGCGGTGGCAGTGATAGGAGCGGCGGCAGCAGTGGCAGCGGCGGCAGCAGTGGCTGCAGCGGCAGCAGTGGCAGCGGGAGGAGCATCAGCAGTGGCAAGAGCGGCTGCAGCGGCAGCAGCAGTGGCTGCAATGGCAGCGGCGGCAGCAGTGGCTGCAATGGCAGCGGCGGCAGCGAGAGGCGCAGCGGCAGCGGCAAGTGCGGCGGCAGCGGCGGCAGCAAGGGCTGCAGGTGCAGCAGCAGCAGCAGGAGGAGCAGCAGCAGTGGCGGTTGCTGTGGTAGCGGCGGCAGCGGGAGGAGCAGCGGTAGCGGAGGAGTAGCGGCAATGGCGGCAGTGGCGGTTACGGTGAGGCAGCGACGGGCTGGCTGGCGACTGCTGGCAGCTGCTGGCTGGTGAGCCAGTGGCAAGCTGGCTGCTGGCTGCTGGCGGCTGCAGGCTGGTGAGCCAGCGGCGAGCTGGCTGGCGGCTGCCGGCTCTAGCTGGCGCTGCTGACGGCCAGCTGGCAGGTGCAGCCAGTGGCGACCTGGCTGGCACTGCTGGCAGCTAGCTGGCTGGTGCTGCTGGCAGCTAGCTGGCTGGCACTGCTGACAGCGAGCTGGCAGGCACTGCTGGCGGCTAGCTGGCTGGCCCTTCTGGCGGCTAGCTGGCTGGCACTGCTGGCGGCGAGCTGGCTGGCACGGCTGGTAGCTGGCTGGCTATCGCGTTGGCAGGCTGGCCGGCGCACTGGCTGGCGGCGTGCTAGCGGCGAGCTGGCTGGCGGCTGCTGGCTGGCAAGCAATCTAGCTGTCTGGCGGCTGCTGGCTGGCTAGCAATCGAGCTGGCGAGCTGACTGCTAGCTGGCTGGCAAGACACGCAATGGGCGAGCAGGGGCTAGTGACGACCAACAGGCACGAAACGACTTGCTAAGGGCAAGACGGCAGGCTGGCGCAGTTGGCGCTGGCAAGCTAGGGAGCGAGCTGGTGGGCTAGCAGGCTGGCGAGTGGGTGAGCTAGCTGGCTGGCTGCCGGATGGCTGGGGTACAAAGAGAGCGAGCGTTAGTGGGGGGGGGGGGAGGGGGAACCTACGAAGCGCGAAATTTGAGAGCGAGAGGTGCGGAAAAAAAAGTTTCGATACACTACGGGTGGAAGCGTGAGGTGCGGAAAATCTAAGGTAGCCCTATACCATGTTAGAATGACGCGAGAAAAAGTGTGAATAGGAGGAGAAGAGGGGAGATACAAGTACAGATTGTTATCCTCTCTAAGAGCTGACCTAGCGAGGATATACTAACAAATATTTCTAATTAGGATATGTAGTTAGTTGACAGTCAACAGATTCAGTGGGTTTTTCGGGCCCATTTCTACAGCTCACGTCAGTTTCAACCTCGCATCAATTCCGCTACGAAACGGGCCATGCCCCATTGAATTGCGAAATTGAACGTGTCAACCTCGCAGAACTGCACTAGTCTGACATGAGGTTTTCTGACGCGAGGTCATAGGAAGAAACATGCTACTAGAATATCATGGAATGAGGGCAAACGAAAATGACAAAAACTACAAGATCTCTCAGAATAAATGACATTACAATTGTACAGTGGCGGAAAATTTTGTCCGGATGTTTGGTAGTAATTAGGGTTTTTAGGCATTTCGACCACTTTACATAAAGTCTTAAACTTTAATGGTGGTACGCTTTGGGAGGGGCACATAGTGGATGTGTTCATAGCGCTAAAATCCATAATAGTACACTGGATCTAACTTCGTGCCAAAAGATATACAATTGTTTCCTGGGACAAAGAGCAAACTTCCGAACAACGTTTCTAGTACCTGAGGGGCTTAAATGACGAAGTGCTCTCCAAATGGGGAGGGGCTTACAATCAAATAATGCGCATAAGCCCCATTAGCTGATTGAAGGACTCAGGGTCCTATCCCCCCCCGGGGGGCGCTTATCCGTATGGATACAGTAGCTGGAGTCTCTTATTGTCTTCAACGCATTCTCAACCTTCCCTTTTGAATTATGGAGTCCATGCATCTGGGATATATGATCATAAAATAACTGGGAGATACAAAACGTAACCACATATCTAATGGACACATTTTTTCCACAATCTACAGCTCTCAGAATAACACAATAACAAGAAGGAGGCATACATGCAGGTTTTGTGCTATGATGCTGTTCTCTTTATGAGCATGCACCTGTGTAGCATATAAAAATATATAAACATGTTGACACACCCCCTAGGCTAGACAAGGGGCAGTGCGTGGCAAGAGACACGCAGCTTAGGGTGGTTCTACTAGTCCAACCTGTGAGGCAAGGGTCCGAAGACCAGTCAGAAGAGTAGAAAATAGACAAGAGCAAACCAAGGCGGCACTATTAGTCCGGCCACTGGAACAGAAGCCACAACACCAGTCTGGAGAATATAAACGAGTAGTACACAATCAAGGTCCTAGCAAGTGAGGAGCTACTGGAACTAGACCAAGCTATACACAGTGCCGCATGTGATCTTTAGGCGCAAGCGCCTTAGGAAAGATATCAGCTGTATTGGCACCGGAGGCCAAGTGAACAACACAGGCCTGGCGTCGCTGCTGTAGCTTGCGTAGGAGGAAGTGCCGCAGCTGGATGTGCTTCGATCTCCCCTCCAGTCGAGGCTCCTGACACAGGAGGATCATGGCCCTGTTATCAGTGTACAGGACCGAGGCAGAGCTAGGCCGCTCACCTGACACTGGAGGATCTTGGCCTTGTTATCAGCGTACAGAACCGGGGCAGAGCTAGGCCGCTCACCTAAGTCTGTGAGCAAGAAAGTTAGCCAAGGGAGATCCTGTGCCGCCATGGCACCAGCGTAGATCTCAGCCTCACAGCTAGAGTGTGCAACAGATGACAAGTGGGTGGACTTCCACGAGATGGCGCCTGCACCAAGGCTAAAGCAGTAGCCCTGGGAGGACCCGAGCGTCTCAACATCGCCTGCCCACGAAGCGTATGTGTGCCCTGTAAGGACCACTGGCCTGCGTCCTCCTAGCGCCAGCCCCATGCCCGATGTACGTGCTAGATAACGCAAAACCCTCTTAGCGGCCGACCAGTGCTGTGGTCGGTATCTGCCTGTCGCCACAAAGTGAGCCATGATGCTGAGAGGGTATGCGAGATCTGGACAAGTGCAAGTCATCAGGTACATCAGGCAACCCACCAGCTCTGCATACGCACCACTAGGCTCTACAGAATCCTTAGGGACTGGAGCCGAGAGCTTGTGATCTACTAGCAGAGGTGTGGGCTGTGCGGAGAACTGAAGACCGAACCTCTAAAGGACCTGACGCACCAAGTGTGACTTTGTGAGAGTGATGGTGCGCGCTGCTCTGTCCTTGGAGATCTACAGGCCAAGATAACTACGCAGCTCTCCTAGGTCTGTGCAAGTGTCTCCTCAGCAGCTCAGCCTTCATGGAAGCCAGTGCGTCTCTGTCTGCAGTAGCAAAGACCAGGTCGTCTACATAGACAAGGATGTAGAACGGGATCTGGCCTGAACGAACGAAGAGCGAAGGGTCAGCAGATGACGGGAAGAACTGTAGATCAGCTAACGTAGCACGAAGCGTGTCGTGCCACTCACGGGGTGCCTGCTGCAGGCCGCCAAGCGGGCGCCAGAGGAGCCACTCAGTCCTAAGGGCGAAGGTGCCGATGAAGCCCGGCGAGCGGAGCAGGTAAACTTGCTCGTGCAAACTACCCTGAAGAAACGCTGTAGAGAAGTCGAGGGAGTGCAGCTCGTATTCACGCTGTGTTGCTACGTGTAGCAGTGCCCGAAGAGTGGTCGTCTTCAGGGTGAAGGTCTGAAATAACTCAGCACCCTTGCGCTGACTGAAGCCTCTAGCCACGTAGCGCGCCTTGAATACCGGCGGCTCTCTAAGAGGGCGCTTCACCTTGAAGAGCCACCGGCCGTCGACTACGTTCACCTCAGGTGGGGGAACTGCGTCGACGTAGGTGCCGGTGGATCTCCAAGATGCCATCTGTGCGTCCATGGCAGCTTTCCACTGAGAGGCTCAGGGTCCCAAGGTCGCCTCAGCATAAGTGCGAGGGGTCGGGATGTCAAGGGCGTCTGGGTCACCCTCAGGGACTAGCAGCATGGAGCAGAGATGGGGCACGACCTCGGATAGGAAAGCTAGCTCATACTGCCTTTCCTCTAGGACGTCACTGCCAAGGGCAGGTGCACCCCCGACAAATGGACGACGGGCAGGATCAGAGACCAGACCAGTAGTGTAGTCAAGGCGGTGGGTAGAGGCAAACTTAGTGACTGCGGCAACAAGAGCGTCAAGACTCGAGATAGGAACGGACGGGTCAGTAACAAGAGAGGTGAGAACCCGAGGAACAAGAGGATTAGCCGCACGAAGAAAGTCAGAGAGAGGAGGTGGAGAGACAACAAGCAACGAACGAGGAGGCAACGGAAGAAGAGGAGCACGAGACGCGTGAGAACGGAGCAATATAGGATGAGATCGTTGAACTGGGAAGACAGGACGAGCATGAGAGAGACGACGAGACCAGAAGTGGGAGGGAGGCATCGGGTCAACAGACATAGGAGGAGACATAGGAGGAGAACGAGGGGGGAAACGGGCCGGGGATGAGTCCGGCGGAGGAAACACAGGGCCGTAGATAGGCGGGGGAGGCGGCGGCAGGGGAGGCGTAGGCGGTGGTTGGGGTAGAGAAGGTCAAGGAAGCGAAGAGCAGACACTGGCGGCGACTGATCCTGCTGCTCCATTCCGACACCGCACCACGGCTACCTCCGGGACACTTCACAAAAGCCTCCCCAGAACGAGATCCCTCTCCAGCACTGGTGCCACCCCTAGGACCGCCAGAACAAGCCATGACAGTACCCCTATGACAAGCACCCCCAAAAACAGCAACCCCAGGACGAAAACCCACGCCACCACCGGTGCCACCCCCAGGACCGCTGGGACAAGCCACAACAGTACCCCAAGGACTAGCACCCCCAGAACCAGCACCCGAAGCAGTAGCACCCTCCCCAGCGCCCACATCCCCAGAGCTCGTGGACCCCTGCGGCTGCGGCCGCTACTGCTGCAGCGGCTGCTGCTGCGGTGGTGACGGCAGCTACTGCTGCGATGGCGGAGGAGGAGACACAAGGGTGGAGACAGGTGGCAAAACTGGGACAACTGACGGGAGGGGAGTGACGTGAGACTCACCAGACGGGGCAGGATGGGGAGCTAAAGGAGCGGGGGCTACCGGGAGACCTCGATGGGTAGAGCGGGTGTAGAAAGAGACAGACCTCGGTGTAGAGCGGGTGCCGCGACGGGGGCTGGTCTAGAGCTGTTACTGGCAGGTCACTGGACTAGAGCTGTGCGCGCCACCACCGCGACCGCCACTACCAAAGACGCCAAGCCACCATGGCGGCGAAGGTCCCTACAGCTGCTGCTGCTGGTGCAATTGCTGTTGTTGCTGCTGCTGCTATGGCTGCGACTACTGCTGCTATGGCTGCGACTGCTGCTGCATCGTGGCACCAGCCCCGGTCCTCTCGTCTGCACCATCGGCACTCGCACCACCTCCCACCGCTGCCACTCCCGCCACCCCTCCCTCTGCCACGCCCCCCCTTGGGACGGCGGCCCCTACCCTGACGAGGCTGCGCTGAGGCCGCCATGGCGGTCTCAGCAGCGGGGGCTGCCTCAGCAACAGCGGCAGACACGTCAGAGTAAGTGCACTGGGAGGGAGCACAACCCGGGAAGATAGGGACGGTTGCAGTACCGCTGGACTGAGCGATAGAGCGCTGGCGGATCTCTATCGTAGATAGGGTGGTGACGAACTCGGTAAGGGTGAGGTCAGCGGGGTGGAGACCTAGGAAGTGGTCGCGGGCAGTGGCTAGGCGGTCGGGAAAGCGTGTGGCAACGAAGTAAAGGGTAGCGCCGATGCGTAGAGGCAGTACACTGAGCTGGGCCTCAGTGCTAGCAGCGCGGTAGTTAGCGTCATGCGCGCGCAGGTGAGTGGCCAGGTCAGCAGCAGTAGGGAAGGACGCGAGATTAGGAAAGAGCAGGAGGAGCAGGAAACGGCCGGTAGAGGCGGAGGAGGGAGTGGAGTAGCGTGCAATGACAGCATCTAAGAATTGCTTCACAGTCACTACAGTCTAAAAGCGGGGACGCTCGGACAGGGGGAGGGCACGGCTGATAGCAAGCTGCGCAACTGTGTTGCATGACTCCAGACAGAGAGGGCGAGCTCAGCAGCTGCAAAGGCCCCATGCTCAACAGGCGTGGGGGCGTCGGAGAGGGCAGCAAGTGGGTTGGGGCATGGGAGCCTACCGTCAAAGTGGACGCCCAGGGATTGGCCATCCTGGCGCTGACCCCTCAACGAGCAGCGGATGTCGGTGAGCCATGCCTCGAAGTTGATCGCCCGACCCTCCGTGTCCAGGCAGAGCACATCGTCAACCATCGCCACGGTTATAGCAGCAGAAAACTGCTAGAGGTGGGGAAGCGATGGAGAGCAGTGGAGAACGGTGGAGAGCGGTGGAGACAGCTGGCGGGAGCGCCGGCGCAGAGGGGAAGCTAAGGCCGGCAAGTCGGCCCGGTAATATGGCGATTCGGCGGCTCGGGAGGGGCTCGGCGGCTCGGCGGCGCGGCGCGGCTAGGGCCGGCGACGACTGGGGCCGGCGCGGACAGGGCCCGGTGCGGACGGGGCCGGCGAGCAGAGGCCGGCAGGAGCTGGGGCCGGCGCGGGCTGGGGCCAGCGAGCAAGGGCCGGCGAGCAGAGGCCGGCGAGCAGGGGGCAGCGGGAGCTGGGGCCAGCACGAGCAGGGGTCGGCGAGAAGGGGGGCCGGCGAGCAGGGGCCGGCCCAGGCTGGGGCCGGTGAGCAGGGGCCGGCGAGCAGGGGCCAGCGAGCAAGGGCCGGCCAGCGAGCAAGGGCCGGCGCGGACTAGGGCCGGCGAGTAGGGGCTGGCGAGCAGGGGCGGGCGAGCAGAGGCCGGCGGACAGCGGGCCAATGGCGAGCTAGGGGCCGACGAGTAGAGGCCGACACGCGGGACCAGCGAGCTAGGGCCGGGGGGCAGCGTGCCGGTGGCGAGCGAGGGCCGGTGAGCTAGTGCCGGCGGGCAGCGGGGCCAGCGGATGATCGCGGGGCCAGCGAGCTAGAGGCCGGCGAGCTAGGGCCGGCAAGCGCAGGGCCAGCAGGCGAGGGGCCGGCGCGCTAGCTAGGGCGGCTAGGGCGGTCTAGGGCGAGCTAGGGCGGCTACGGCGAGCTAGAGCGGAAGCGCAGGTGAGCGGACCTAACCTAGTTGATACTATCTCAGAATAATATACTGTAATCCCCCGGATATAGGCGCATACGGGCTTTTAGGAAATACGTAACAAAAGTGGCATGCGCTTGTAATCGAATAAAATTTAGAAGCCCAGGGCTTATGAAAGGAAATTTATGGAAAAAATATTTGAGCACGTGAAAATGTAGTTCTCGAATTTTGCGTTCTAGAGTGTGTCTTTCCAAAGGGCAGCTGTTGACAAAACTCGAGAAGTTGGCTGACAAAGCTTCCGCCACCAGATCCACCCAGGAATGACTGAAATCGCGAGCCAATCAGAGTCAACATAGTGAGCGAGACTTGATCTTCTGGTTCGGGAGGCACTCGGGAGGGGCACGGCAGAAACTCCGATATATAAATCCCCCGTTTAACATAAGTTTATACAAAAAAGTGATGCGCCTATAGGAAATACATTTTAAAAAATGTGGGTGCGCTTATAATGAAATAACGGATGTAAGCGCACTTGCACTCCATAAGCGCAATGGGCCAAATAAAGGGATGCGCCTATATCCAGGGGATTACGGTATGAGCATGCACCTATCTAGCCTATAACAATATATAAATATGTTGACAATAGCTACATACGACTAGATCCGTGGCCCATTCTGTGGTTTATTACCACCAGGAGCTCCACTCATGTAAGTGGCTGATTTCGAGAGGAAGGCCCACCCAGGATACTTATCAATGGGTTTCTGCTGATCATCCATACTTCTAACAGAGCGGAATGCAGTCGTCATCTCTTGGGCTTGCTTGTCCACCCTGATTGCTTCCCTCAGCTCCTCTTCTCCTACCACCTCAGTCCTAACACTAAACAGCTCTTTCGCAACGTGTGCCATGCTTGGCCGACTCGCAGTGCGCTCCACAGTGCACCTGATAGCCAGCTGGGCCAAGCGCAGCACAGCATCATCAGGGGCGTCCATGCTGAGGTCCTTGAGGTGGGTCGGGCTGTCGGACAGTAGGCAGGACTCCACCTGGAGGAGTGCAAAAGGAAGTCAGGCTGATGAGCACAGGCTGACGGGTGCAAGCAAGATTGACATGGTGTATAGACGAGACCTTCAGGTGAGCATTCAGTGTGCTAACAGTGGTGCCATGCAATTCAGACGTACTTCTTCATGCGTAGTGCTAACAGTGGTGCCATGCACAACCCAAGCGAAGTGACGATGGTGCCATGAGCATCCCATAGAACAATAGCACTTACCCATGACAGGATGTGCTCGCTCTTTCCATCATCCGTATAGAGCGGGCGGCTCCGACCGGTAAGGACCACAAGAATGAGCACACCGAAGCTGCATAGGGGGCAAGGGATTGTTAGCATCGAGGTGGTGGTATCGCACAGTGATATTAAGATGTTTCACTTGAAAAAAAAAACTAGATAATCTGTTGAGGATTGTAGACCTGCTAACTCCAGGTATGCACCTATAGACATCGGTGGCAGTGGTTGCCTTTGATGTCTGGAAGTAGATGGGATCCACATAGCCCGGTGTTCCCATGACCCGAGTCGTGCCCACGGTGCTTCCCTCTTCCCCCCTCACAAGTCCAAAGTCTGCAATCTTTGCCTGGTGGAGGGAACAAAGAGAAGGAACGGTAAGCACGATAGCAAGGATAGCGGGTAAAAATAGACTTGGCATTCAAGCATACCTAGAATCGAACTCATATGGTGATCCTACATCTCATGTCCACATCCGATTGATCCCATCCCAAGCTAGTTCAACTCTTGCAATTTGCCATTCTGTGGATCAAGACAACATTGCTTGTGTCTCGGATGTACTCAAGCGTCTTAATGACAATGAATATACCTTTCTGTTGACAGAATCAATTCGTTTTGCATGAACGCAGAAGAGTCAACAATATAAGAAAAATGAACGGTGGAAAGGTGTGCATTGAGTCCAGAAGAGTTATGTCCAGATCCAAACTCTCGACTTCTACAGAGAGAACGTGAAAATTTTGTTACTACTAGTCATGGCCTTTCAAGACATGGAACAATATTGTGGTTCCCCAATGAGAGACTTGAAAAAACCAATCATGGCAACCCAGCCAAGACACCCAACCCCAAGAACGTCCACAATGAGTTTCTTCCACATGCTTTATTTTCCTCCATTTCTGTTTTCTTTTTCCGGCTCTACGTTTACATGATATGAAGAGGGTGTCTTCAATAATGTCTGAGCGCGTGCATCAAGCTTGCCTGCATGTTTTCCCCGAGGAGGATGTTGGCGGGTTTGATGTCGCGATGCACAAGGCCAAAGCTGTGGAGGTACTCCAAGCCACGTGCAGCACCAATGAGGATGTCCAGCCGCTGCTTCAGGCTGAGATGAAAGGGTGCCTCTGCAAAGACACCGAATATGAGCGACAAGCCATGAGTTTCCATAGTCATAAACGGAAGCAAAGAAACAATGGCCCATGGAACGATTACATACGTGTACTGATCCACATCTCAAGGTCACCGTTCGGAACAAACTCGTAGATCAGGACTTGCTCTGGCCGTGTCCTCATGTCCCCTCCGATGGAAAATCCGAGTAGTCGAACAATGTGGGGATGGTTCTTGTCTGCGATTTGTCGGACCTGGGAGACATGTCATGGTAGAGCGGGTGAAGGGATGGTGGTGGGGGCGTCTCATTTTGGAATGGCCATTAGGGGGTTGATAAAAAGACGTGACACGATTGGATGGATTTAAAGACCAAGTGTAGACAACTGGGACTCACTCTTTTATGCATTTGTTGAATTGTTCATGCTGTAGCTTATCCTGATCAAGGGATAGATGGATAGCATGCAAGGTACACAGATGACTTTTTAGAGGAAGAAAAAGTAACACCTTGCCAAAGAATGCGCACCTCTCTCTGAAAGTCAGCATCAAGCAGTTTTGCTCGCTTGACGGCCCACCGTGTGGTGCTATCCCTTGGAGACACGCCCTTGAAGACATCACCAAAGGCACCAGAGCTAAGCCGGTTGTCATTGGACCAGTTGCTCGTGGCTGCCATGACTTCCTCAAGGGAGTACTCAGTGCAGTGAGAGGCTGCCACACTGCCTGCCAAGCCTGCTCATTGACCGAGGGGTAGGCATGAGCACGGGGCGAGGCGAGGATTCCTTGACCCGAGGATCTCATCCTCGCGCCCTAGCTGGGGCGGATCGAGGAATCCTCGCCGAGGATTTTTCTTGAAAATCCCCCCTCGACCCCCGGGTTTTGGGGTCGAGGATTGAATTCCTCGTCCAAGGATGAATTCCTTGACCCGGGGCGAGGATTCCTTGACCTGGGCGGCTGGGGGGTTAGGGGGGGGAGGGGTAATGGGAACATGTGCAGGGAAGAATGAGCCTTATCCTGGTTTCATGGAAAGCTCACTTCCACTTCCCACCGATGTGTTATAAGGCAACATTTCCCTGCCATGCTATGGGTCATGGCTCTTTAGTTTCCCACCTGCTGAGTGTAATTGATTACACTCAATCCATACCACTGCCGTTGACATGTGCTTCGCCTAGGTGGAATGAAATACCCACCCCCCCTCTATTATGAGTACAATGCCGATGGCCAATAAGCGTATTGCTTTGTCCACCCGCACACACCAAAAGCAGCCAACTTGTCTAAACATGGTGACACGCCCCGCACATCTCATGCCATTGCCAAGTTCAGCTCTGCCAGTGACAAAACCACAACCAACCACAACTGCCCACCCTTGCCTCACTGTGCCATCATGGCTGGATGGATGGTTATACAGCTTTTTGCTAGGTCCATCACCACCTAACACCATAAGCATGCAAATAAATAAATAGATCAAGTCACACGGGCAATAGATGTCAGAGCACAACGAGCTGTCCCGGTTCACATTCCCTCGAGCTCCAACCCCAACTCCGTCAGCTCTTGCGCTGCCACCCCACCAAGCCTTTCCCCCGGGTGCGTCGCGATCCATGACTTGAGGGTCATGCATGCGCGCACCCGCTCTGCGCCAAGGCGATGCCGCTGCCATGTGATGGGGTTGCGGCCCTGCGAGAACATCCGCTCGCTAGCCGCAGAGGTGGCGGGGATGGCCAGGTAGTCCCTGGCAATCGCCTGCAAGGCTGGCAGATCGACCCTGCGTCGCCAGTACGCAAGCGGCGAAGCACGCATGGGGAGGATTGGCTCATCGAGGTACACCTGAATCTCATTCTTCTGCTCCTGGCACTGCTTGCTACGGTAGGCAGCCAGGTGCCTCACCAGGCTACCCTCGTCGTCATCACCCCCAAAGGCAGCCCCCATCGCAGCATCCCCCTCGTCCCCTCCCCCACCGCCGTCAGCCCCATCCTCTCCCCCAAGCTCCGCCGCCACTGCCTCCGCCGCGCGCACCTTGTCCGTGTACGGCTGCCACTTCTTGCGCACGAGAGTGATGACTGCCTCGAGGGCGACCTGCTCGACCACCCTCGTCGACATCTCGCCGCGTGGCTTGGCGAAGTACCCGAGCTTCATTGTCGGGTCGAGGAAAGTGGCGACGCATAGCTCGTCGCTGCTGGAGGAGTAGTACTCCTCCAGCTTGGGGAGTGCCACCTCGCAGCACGCACGGATGAACGCAGAGGGGGGGGGATCCACACTGTGCAGCACACGCTCGAGCTTGTCCATCAGCTCGTTGTACTGCGGCACAACCTCGCTAACAGTGGGATAGTGCCCCCCCTCCGCCGCCAGTGTCACCAAGTTGAAAGGCTTGAGGAAAACTGCAACTTCCTCAAGCACGGCCCACTGCTCGGGCGAGTTGCGAAGCTGGGCCTGGCGAGCCTCCTGATGTTGGAGTTGGGAGTAGGAGGTTTTAGGGTTAAACACATGAGAGCGTGGATGGGTGGGTGGCTGAAGTTGGTGTTGAGACGCATGGGGGATGTACAATGGTGAGGGGCGGGACGTGTCAAGTGGGGACGAGGGCAATAACACTGTCACACACAGATGAGTTTCAACAAGACCAAAGGACTCACCGGAAAGCGACGCGCAAAGGAGTCAAGAGCATCGCGCAGTCGGATCCCATGCACGACCATCTGGTAGGTCGATCCCCAGCGCACCTCCATATCCTGCTTCAATTTCACGACCGGCCTGTCAGGGAAAAGGCACCGCTGTTCGTCCTCGAATAGCGGGGTCTGCTTGGTGGAATAGCCGATGAAGCTGGCGTTCTCACGCAGCAGCCCCAGCAGCAGCATCAGAGCCTCCACCTTCTGCAACGCTTGCTGTACAGAAATGTTGCAGATGTGGGCGAGGCAACTGGTGGAGGGACAGGGGGGATGTGCGGAGGGCATGCTTGGGTTAGCAGTGGCATATGGCACAGCATGGCATGTCGCATGCATGTGGCATGGCACGGCATGTGGCATGGGATGGCATGCGGCATGTGGCAGGGCATGGCATGCGGCATGTGGCATGGCAGCATGGCATGGCATGCAGCACATGGCATGTGGCATGGCATGACATGCGGCATGTGGCAGGGCACGGCATGGCATGGTAGGTGGCTTGTGGCATTGCATGGGATAGCTTGCACATGCAAGCTCTGTGCATTCGGTTGCTTGTGAGCAAGGCTGGGCCTCCAGCGACAAAAACAGTCAACACTCACCGGATGTGGAGCCCGGTCTGGAAGAGCGGCGGGACCCTGTCGCCGATCTCGCCGCGGGACAGCCACCTCATGGCCGCGGTGTTGGTGGCGGCGTTATCGGTAGTCACAGCCATGCAACGCCCGGTCAGCCCCCAATCACGCACCACCGCCTCCAGCACGTGAGCCACTACAGGCGCCGTGTGGCTCGGCGGTAGTGCTATGAAGTCCAGCAGTCCCTGGCGGAGCTTGAACGCTGCCGTCAGCCAGTGGGCTGTAACCGCCATGTAACCACGGTTGTTCTCACCCGTCCAGATGTCTGTGGTCAAGCTGACCTTGCCCACGCCCCTGGACGGTGAGAGCTCGTCCTTGAGAACCGCGCGCGCCAGATCCCCTAGACGGATGCAATCACGGCCCACAGTGTGCCGCCCGCCCAGGAATGACACCAGGGGCGCCACACTGTGGGTTAGCCGCTGCCATCATGCGGCGAAACTGTCGGGCAGGGTGATTGAGGGAGCGGCACATCATGGCATCGGAGTTGGTAGGCATTGGATTTCACAGCATGACATGACCGTGCAACTGCGAAACGACATGGGTGGCATGTGGCTGAAAGATTGTAAAAAAACCCGCAACGGGAAGAGGCAAGGGTCTTACAGATGGGCGATCAGTGGTGCTGAAGGCAGAATCAGAGTCGACGATGTACACTACTATCATCTGGCGTAGGTACTCCTCGTCCAATCGATGAGACAGGAACCTCTTAATACTCTGCTGCCCTCCTTGTCCACCCCCCTCCTGTGGGGGGTCCCCCGGCCACCAAGCCGCGTCAGGCCACACGTTTTTCCCATCCGGCACTTCGCCCTCCTCCCCAAATCCACCCTCGGGGAACACCTCGTCCCCACCTATCTCCCGGGCATCCCATTTGCGCGCCCAAATATCCCAGCGGGCGCGATGTTTGTTCTTCATGTGATCCCTTCCCGAGGTGGTGGAGCTGTGGGCCCAGCAGATGGCCATACTACACTTCCTGCAACGCCGTTTGTTCCCAAGCCCGGACTGACGCTCAAAGCATCTCGCCGCCATGCCGTCTCCCTTCACAGGCTGCCCTGCCTTCTTGTTCCCAGTTCCCCCCTCTCCACCCTCCTCCACTGCTCCACCGCCGCCAGTCCCCCCGCCTCCCCCGCTGCCAGCCCTCCCCCTTCCCCCGCCAGTCCGGCCCCCTCCCATGCCAGTCCGCCCTCCTCCTCCTCCAGTCCGCCCCCCTCCCCCTCCTCTAGCCCTCCCTCCTCCCCCGCCTGTGTTCCCCCTTCCTCCGCCAGTCCTCCCCCCTCCTGCCCCCCTCGGGGCCTGTACTTCCCTGCCTTGCCCAGCTGAGCCTTGTACCTTCTTTCCCCTACCGCTGCCCTCACCCTTTTCCATTTTAATGGCCTTCAGCATCGCCTTGCTGACCGACCCCCCAGCTTCTCCATGGCCTATGCCCCCCCCCCCAAGGGCACCAAGCACCGAGTCCGCACCCTCCGCCTCAAGGTCCGCCATGTCCTCGTCATGCTCGGCGGGTTCCCCCTCCCCCCCATCGTACATGTGTTCTTCGGAGTTGTCGCCGGAGCACTCCTCCTGCTCCTCCACCCCCTCCTCCTCCCCCCACTCGTCCTCATCTTCCTCCCCCTCCGCCTCCCCCTCCCCCTCCTCCTCCTCCTCCTCCTCCTCGTCCTCCCCCACTCCTTCCTCGCGCAAGCCCTCGGCCCTCCACCTCCCCATACCCTCCTCACGCTCGAGCTCCTCGCCTTCTCCCCCCTCGTGCTCTTTCTTCTCCTCCTCTTCCTCTTTGCCCTCCTCCTCCGCCTCTTCCACCTCCTTCTCCTCCTCTTCCTCCTCTTCCTCTCCCTCGCCCGCATGCTGGCGGCCTCCCTCCCTTGCCCTCCTCTTAGAGTCTCCGCCGATGGCGCCATCACCGCGCCCTGCACCATTGCCCTTCCCCCCAGCGTTCTCGCGCGCGGCCTCACCCACCTTCTTCGCCTCGGCCGCGGCTGCGATGGCCTTAAAGTGCCTCGTCTCGGTCGCCGTCATTGCGCGAGTTTCCTCCTCGCCCTCTTGCCCCCTTCCCCTGCCGCCTCTCCCTTGGCCACCGCGGGCACCATTACCGTGGCCCCTTCTCCCACCACCTCCACCACGTGGAGCACGGCCCATGCTATCAGTGGGCTCGGCACTCTAAGAACCGCTACTGTTCTTAGTTTAGGCCCTCTATCCCTAATGGCAGCCCCACCGCCGCCAATGCAAGTCGTCTGTCCTAAAAACGCCGTGCAATCTACAAAGCATTTTTCTCTCCCCCCTCCTACAGCGGGAGTTCTTTTACCCCGCCCGTTGGTATTTGTTTAAGCTGTTTAGAACGGTGGCATTGGGCGAAATGGGACCAGCAAGGCTATAGGTAAACCTAATACGAAATAACAGAACTTGGCTGATCCAAAAATAATGAATCAGTTTAGTCCCAAAATTTGTGTTTGTACCAGCACGCCTCGAGGCGCGCTGGCACCCAAATGACGCGAGGAAACAATCCTCGTGAGGATTTTTTCCTCGCAAGGATACAAAATCCTCGCCCATTTGCCTCGAGGAAATGTCGAGGCCTCGAATCCTCGCCGAGGCGGGGCGAGGATTCCTCGCGAGGATTATTTCCATAAATCCTGCCTCGACCCCCGGAATTTCGAGGCGAGGAAATCCTCGCCTCATTGCTCATGCCTACCGAGGGGTAAACGTGCAGCGCATTTGCACTGGTTTTAGGTAGACATGGGCACAAGCCGAGCCACATCCGGCTCGGCTCGGCTCGGCTCGCCAAAATGACGAGCCGAGCCTTTCTTTTCGGGATCTGGCTCGACTCGAGCCGAGCCGGCTCGGCTCGGTCGAGCCAGCCGGCTCAACTAGGCTCGTACACGATGTTCTCGTCGAGCCGGGGTCGAGCCGGCTCGTCCCCGGCTCGATTTCGAGCCAGGTGGCTCGCCACTCGATTTCAAGGGTAAATTTCCCCCTCGACAAAACGTGTCTCCCGTTTCTCTCTCCCGCCAACAACTCCTAGTCTATGTTCCCGAAATCGCTCTAGCGGTGCAGCGTTTATCGTTTAAATGCTGCGTTTAAAGGGTAAACACTAAACGCTCGCCCAAAATGTTTGGCGCAGAATTCTTTCTCGCGACATTGCGACCTCGCGAATTCAACCAGTCGCAACCCCAAACGTTGACGACCAAAAACACATCCAACCCTTTTGCCCCGCTCAACCGCACTGCACACTACTGCATCTACAACTTCCAACCTAACCTCTTGCACCCTCCTTCCTCCTCACAATCCACTTCCCGTCAGTTTCGCGAACCCTAGAATTCTGCGCGCCAAGGACTATCTTATTAGGTTAGTTCGCGCGAGAAATCTTAAGCAGCCCGCACCACTCTTAACAACGCGCGCTTGCATAGGCTCCACCCACACTACTGTTGGCTTAAGCGCATGCTAGGCGAGTCGAGCCGAGCTGGCTCGCCGTCGAGCCAGCCCTGGCTCGCCCACAGAAATGCGAGCCGAGCCAGGCATGTTTGGTGCCCGGCTCGACTCGAGCCGAGCCAGGCTCGATGGCGAGCCGGCTCGGCTCGACCCCTGGACGATCCGAGCCAGGCTCGGCTCATGCCCATGTCTAGTTTTAGGCATGGAGGGAGTTATCTTCAGGGAAGGGGATATATGGGGTGAGAAGAGAATAGGACTTCGAAAAAGTACGCTCTCCAAAGTGATTAACTGTCGACCATGCCTTTTCAAGTATCCCCCCACCCCCCCCTCCCGCCGCCTTTGGCATAGATCTTCACTCGACTAAGGTCCAGCCAAGTCGGCGATGCATCGACCCACACCCGCATGCTGTGCTCTTTCGCCTTGTCAGCTCCCTTTACCCCCCTGTAGACATGGGCACAAGCCGAGCCACACCTGGCTCGGCTCGGCTCGGCTCGCCTTTAAGGCGAGCCGAGCCTTCTTTTTTGGTACCCAGCTCGACTCGAGCCAAGCCGGCTCGGCTCGACTCGAGCCGGCGGCTCGGCTCGGCTCGCGCACGTGAAATCAAGCGAGCCGGAGTCGAGCCGGCTCGAGCTGGCTCGATTTCGAGCCAGCCGGCTCGCGGCTAGGGAAAGGGGGGTTTCGCGACTGTCAAATTTCAGATCGACAACCCCCCCCCGCCAATATTGTCTGCCAACCCCAACCTCACCCTGTCGCGCTAGTCTATCGACCTCAGCCAGCCATATTTAAACCGGCAGCTCCCCCTGATAGTTTTGTAAGATGTAGGAGCAGACGATCAGCTAAATAATATACATTGTCCCCTATACTAGAGACCCCAAACCCCGTGGCCCCAATTGAGAGCCCGCACAAGCCCCCCTGGCGAGCCGAGCCGAGCCGGGGATCCTGAGGACCCGGCTCGAGGCGAGCCGAGCCGGCTCGACCGGCGAGCCGGCTCGGCTCGACCCCAAACGAGCCGAGCCGAGCCAGGCTCGGCTCATGCCCATGTCTACCCCCCTGCTTCTTTGCCCATCCCCACTGCTTGCTACCTAGAGCGTTGATTCAAAATTTGTTAGTGTTACGACTATATGATAATAAGGGAAGGTATGAGGGGTAATGGAAGGGAGGGACGGAGAAAGTGAAAGGCAAATCACTCTTACCTTTAAAATCTCTCGTGAGCACTGCATCCTCGCTTTCCTTGATGGTTATAGCTGCTGGTGGTGCTGCTTCTTTCTTGTGGCGTCTCCACCATAGGAGCGTGCCAATCAACAGCAGCAGGAAAGCCACAGCAGCCACAGCGATGGCAGCAATGGCTCCTGCTGACAGATCGCCGCGAGACTGAGAGGTCGGCATTCCGAGCGAGGTGGTGGATGCTAGGGGTTCAGTGGGTGTTGCGGTGGGAACCGGAGACCGGGAGGGGGGCGCTGGAGGAGGGAATGGGCAGGATTGATATGAAAAGGGATTGATAAAGACAACACCAGTTACAAGGTGGGGGGAGGGAGTGCAGCAGAGCATTGCATTAAGATGAACAGCTTGAGATCTGGCTAGCACATTAGCTCTGCGTCAATTTAACCATGAAATGCTGTCTACTCTGACAAATTTGGCCCTCATACATGTGGCAGAGGGATGTAGGGTACTGAATGGTGAAACACAATGCAAAAACATCTCATGCTGGGAATGCAGATTAAGCAATGGAGGACAAGTTAGAGACAACAATTGGCGCACATGATGCAGGCTTGGCACAAGTGGTGCAGAAAGAGGGGCATGCGCTGCAAAAAGCGCTTGAAGTGTTTTGTTGGACCAAGCATTGGGTGAAGTCAGGAGGGCATGTCACTCCGGTTGCATTCAGGTCCCTGCACAGTGAGATATTGTTGTTCAAGCAGCATTCAGCAAATTGACGTGAAATCACAGAACACCTGAAAACGTTTCGCGCTGTTGGAGGGAGATTTTGAGAGAGAACCTTGGTTGAAGACATTTGGGAGTAACTCATATTAGACTAGACATACATGGGCTTCATGCCGAGCCTGGCCCGGCTCGGCTCGGCTTGACTTCGAGCAATGGGAAAATCGAGCTGAGCCGGCTCGGCTTGAGTCAAGCTGGCTGGAGAAGTCTCGGCTCGCCTTTCTAGGGTCGAGCTAAGGGCTGGGTCGACTGCCGGCTCAACTCGTTTCCAGGAAGAGGTGTTTTGAACACAAGGAATGATCGTTCGAAAAGAGTAGGACGCCTGTGGCAATGCCCTCTACAAAAATCTAGGCTCGAAACCCAAAGGGCCTATGCTGGTCGTGGTAAATGCGGCAAGTTTCTAAACCTAAAATCCCCTAGATTCACCAAGATAAGTGTTAAATAACTTAAGGATATTGGTTCTCGATTTCCAGTTGGGACGATTTTTTACCCCCACTGGTGAGTTGCGTGCCTCAGCGATCGAGCCACAGTCGAGCCCGATTCTCACCTTTTGGACGAGCCGGGCCAAGCCGAGCCGAGCCTGGCTTAGCATGAAGCCCATGTCTAGACTACGAAAACGCCGTTACTTAAGTATCTACCATGAATTCAAACTGCAAAACCCCTGACTTGAAGTATATTAACAAGTACACTATTCCTTTGCTCTGGCTTGTTAATCTTCCAAGGTCTGTGTCCACTGTTCTGTGCAAAACAAACATTTTTGACAGGCAACGAAAACGCCAAACGGTGTCGGGGAAAAAAAAAAACCATAGGAGGAGGCAAATTCCACTCTGCTAGATGGTGGGAACAAAAAGCTTGGAATGTGTTCTGTGTCTTATCTGTTCTAGCCTTATTAGTATCCATCTTCACACAAGATGCAGTACTCCGAGATAAAATTTCGACTAATGTGGACAAGCACTCTTCCAGCAGACTCAGACGAAGGAGCTCTCTTGCTCCCAGGAAGTACACAAGCACGGGTCTTTGAGTTTCAATTGAACTTCCGTTACTTGAAATATCGAGTAGGCACATCTCAATAGACCAGTGTCTGAAACTAGACATGGATATATTGCATCGCATTTTTATCGCATTTTGCGATTGCGATTTTTAAAAAAAAAAAAAATCAAAAAAAAAAATCGCAACGATGCGATGCGATAATATCGCGCCATTTTTGCGATATCGCGCATTTATCGCGGATTTTTCAGCGCGATATGCGATATAAAAATATCGCGCGCCATACATCCGCATATCGCGCTGCGGAATTGCGCCAGAAAGGGGGGGGGGGGGGGGGGGGGGGGGAACATGGGCGCGGGCCTGAACTTAGCAAAAAATAGGGTTCTCTCGTTGTAATGGCGTGCGGATATTGCGTGCGGCTGTTTGGGGTTGGCATAATTGATGGGGAGGTGTTTGTGAGGAGCTTGGAGAGGAAGGGTTGGAAATTCTAGTTGAAAAGGGGTGCAGTGCGGTTGATGGAGGGGAGTTGGTTGGAGATTCAAATTTTGAAATGGGCGGTGGTGGATGGAATGTGGTGGTGTGCGGTTAAAGGGATTCAGGGGGGTGATTGAAATCTCGACCCCCACTAATTCAATTGGTTGGAAATCCAACCAATTTCCATCACTTCAACCGCACTAAATTCCTCCGCACTACAGAATCCGACCCCTAAACGTGATGGGATATTAAATCGCATCGCGCGATATATCGCATTCAAGGGTGCGATACTTTTTTGCATCGCACCCTAAATCGCGATATGCGATTTCAAAATTTGAGACAGAATATCGCAGAGATGCGATATCGCATTGCTGCGATATCACGCACGATATGACAAAATGCGATGCGATATCGCATCGCATCGAATTTTAACCATGTCTGTCTGAAACAGGTTGCACAAAGGGTTGGAAAAATGAGGCTCCAAGCTACTACCAAATGAGTCTGGAGTCGAATGTGAGACTGAATTTTGTCTCATTTTTGCTAAAAGGAACTTAGTCAACTTCAAGAATAGGCTATTTTTTAAGCAGCATACACTGGTGCGAGGATAGACAATTCGCCAAGTGGATCAAAGTCCAGAAGAACACTCGAGTATAAACAGCTTGAGCAATGGCAGGACTAACAAGTTTCACAGTGGAGTAGAAATTAGGGCAGAGAAAAATTTCAGAAAGACCCTCTGTCCCCACTGGTTGCCCCTACACTTCCAGATCCTTTACCCTAAGTAAGTTGGGTCGGGTATACCCGACCCGACCCGGGGTAAAAGTTGGGTCAGGTCGGGTATACCAGACCTGACCGGGTGTTTTGCTTAATTCTACGGTAAAAATTGTTGAAAACTCTAAGTTTTTCTATCAAATGTCCACATGCATGGCTGAAAGCATATATGAAGAGGCATCATATGTAGGTAGACTTGAGCATTTTACCCGGTCGGGTCGTGGGTACCCGACCCGACCCGACATTTTGGCCGGGTCGGATAATAGGATTTTGACGAATTACCCGGCGGTAGGGTTGAGCAAACTACCCGACCGGGTCGGGTACCCGGTACCCGGACCCGCTTTTAGGGCGGGTCGGGTATCGGAAATCCTGAAAATTACCCGGCGGGTCGGGTCCGGGTTACCCGGGCCGGGTATCAATACCCGCTACCCGAAATGATACCCGACGTGTCGGGTAACGGGTACCCGACCCGGTCGGGTAAAAAAATACCCGAGGTCGGGTATTCCACCTAGACATGGGCGTAAGTCGCGCTGTGTTTTAGGTTTTGGGGCAAAACGGTTTTGGAGGTGAGAGGGGACGAGTGGAGCATTTGTGAGATGTTGGAGTTTGTAGATGGGGAGGAGTTAACTGCGGTGAAAGGGAGGGAGTTGGGTGGGAGTTGGAGAAAAGGTTGGAGTTTGTAGATGGGTAGGAGTTCAGTGCGGTGAAAGGGAGGGAGTTGGGTGGGAGTTGGAGAAGAGGTTGGAGTTTGTAGATGGGTAGGAGTTCAGTGCGGTGAAAGGGAGGGAGTTGGGTGGGAGTTGGAGAAGAGGTTGGAGTTTGTAGATGGGTAGGAGTTCAGTGCGGTGAAAGGGAGGGAGTTGGGTGGGTTGTTAAAGAAGAGGTTGGAGTTTGTAGATGGGTAGGAGTGCAGTGCGGTGAAAGGGAGGGAGTTGGGTGGGAGTTGGAGAAGAGGTTGGAGTTTGTAGATGGGTAGGAGTTCAGTGCGGTGAAAGGGAGGGAGTTTTGTTGGAAAGGTTGGAGTTTGTAGACAGGGAGGAGTTCAGTGCGGTGAATGGGAGGGAGTTTGGTTGGAAATTGGAGTTTGTAGACGGGGAGGAGTTCAGTGCGGTGAAAGGGAGGGAGTTGGGTGGTCAAAATTCGACCCCCAGAAAACGCGACTCTCATTTGAGAGTCGCGTTTTCAGGAACCCTACCTAGCCTAGCCCAACTTTAGGATGCCCACTAGTAGGTGGCGGGTTGTATTACCCGCTTTTCAGGGTAACCGGGTCGGGTATACCCGGACCCGCCAGGCGGGTATTGTATTACCCGTCCCCTTAAGGCCGGGTCCGGGTAAGGGTCCTGGGCATATTACCCGACCCGGACCCGAAATTACCCGACCCGAAATTACCCGACCCGAGGTCGGGTATTGCAAAACCGGGTCGGGTCGGGTAATTACCCGGTTTTGCTCAAGCCTACCCGGCGGGGTCGGGTCGGGTACTCAGGCCGGGTAATGCGCAGCATACCCGTTACCCGAGAATTACCCGAAATGTCGGGCAATTTATTACCCATTGGGTCGCGGGTACCCGACCCGACTTCGGTTTTGTTACTCCGGGTTTGCTGAATGATACAGCCACCTAGGGGAAGACATGGGCAAAATGCGATTGCGATTTGAAACGCAAAACATTGGGGGGCGATTTCATTTCTGGAAAAAAATAAAAATAGCACATTGCATTTTGAATTAAAACTAGCACGATGAATATTAAAACCGCATGCACTATTGAATTAAATCGCGCGATGCGATCTAAAATCGCATCGCGTTTTAAAACAGAATGAAAAAACACCCCCAAAAAACAGAACAAAACCATGGCTGCCGGGAAATTGAATCACGGGCAATCGTAAGCTAGAGTGCAAATAACTAGTGTGGTTTCGTAGTGGGTTTCAGAGTGGGTTTCAGTGCAACATCGCGCGCGATTGAAAAAAAAATGCATCACATTTAAATCACGTTTTTTAGCGCGATTAAAATGCGATTTAAATTAATCGCGCGATAAACAATGCATCGCATCGCGCGATGATTAAAAACGAAAATTAAATCGCAATCGCAAAAATGCGATTAAATGCGATGCGATGTGATTTTTTTTGCCCATGTCTACCTTGGGGTACCCGGGTAATATTATCCGACTTCAATTAAATGCGGGTCGGGTATACCTGACCCGCCAGACGGGTACCCAATTATCCGGTATTAAAAATGCCGGGTCGGGTAACAGACTTCCAAAAATTACCCGGAAATTACCTGACCCGGACCCGATCGCGGGTAGGGAAAAACCAGGTCAGGTCGGGTAATTACCCGGTTTTGCTCATGTCTAATCATATGTCATGCATGCGAGCTCACATGTCAACCCAACAAAGGCGGCGCCACTCACAAGACGCGAAGATTTGTGAGGTTGCCAATGGAAGCAGGAATTGTGCCCACCAGGCCATTGTCACGAAGATCTCTGATGAGTAAACAGCCAAGGAAAAGCACATGACAGGAGTAGTGGAGTTAATATTGCCCGTGTATGACATATGACAACATGGCAGGAACATGGTTATGTGTCCTGCAGAATCCCCTTTTGTACCTTCATCAATTGTACCCAGTAAAGCGGACAACGAGACATGCTTGGAGAACAACCATTACGATGGTCCGTTGGATAATTTGTATAATTTCTACGGGAGCAAAATCTATCCATCCAAGGACGTGTCCATGGTTGCTCGTTTAGCATGATGCACCGTTGCTTCTTCGCACAAGAGTAGCAAGGCAGCTTCAATGCGTATTAGGGTCGCTTCAATGTACTGAACACCTTTCCAGACAAATGTTGAGGATACCACGAATTCCATTGCAGGAGATTTGCGAAGATGTCATGGAATGGGCAAGAAAGCGAAGGAACTGTGAGACATCTCGCTCACACAAGTGAAGCACTGATCAGTGAAAATGAGGAATTTGTGATAGATTAGCGCTATCGCATTTTGCGATTGCAAAAATCGCAGCGATGCGATGAGATTCAATTGCACGATTTTTGCGATATCCCGATTATATTGCGCTTTTTAAGCGGTTTCTGGGGGTTTGATTCTTTGACCCCCAGAGTCAATTGGTTGGAACTCCAACCAATGTGGTGCTGTGCGGTTGGCTGGATTCAGGTTGGGTTGCAAATTCGATTGGGGAAATTCGATTGGTTTGACTTCCAACCAATTCCCCCCAATTCAACCACTTTGAATGCATCTGTATCTACGAAGCCCAACCCCTGCCAATCTACAATGCTCTAAGTGACCTAGCAGCTCACGTAACCTAGAAATTTGATGAAATTTCTCTACCAGCGCGACTAATGTCTCGCTGGTTCCGTCGGGTAGACCGCTACCCGATTTTGGGTCGGGTACCCGCTACCCAAGGTACAAAAAAAGGCGTATTTTTCCTTTTTAGCCCGTATCATACTGTACCGAAATATACGATCGTTTAATACGGAAAAAAACGGTCTTGGGTGCGTTTTCATGTGTGTGCAAAAAAACGGTCGTATTATACGGTCATTTTTTTAATGGGAGGTGTACTAGGTTTATAATTGCCAATCGAGGTCTTGTTATGTGGTTGGGTTTGCTCGCGCTGTTGGGAAATTGTTCGCTCAACATTTTAGGGTTGAGGAGGGGGCTGAGGAGGAAGAGGAGGAGGAGGAGGAGGAGTAGTCATTTGGAGGAGGACGAGGGGTAGGGGAAGGCTTAGGAGGATTAAGGGGGGGAGACTCACGAGGAAGCCTCGGAGGATTAGGGGGGAGGTTTAGGAGGAGGAGGGGGAGATTAGGATGAGGATGGGGAGGTAGACACCTGTAGGAGGAGGAGGAGGGGGGGGGCTTTGGAGGAGGGGGACGTAGACTTATCGAATGTAGAGGCGTTTCTATCTGTAGCCGCATTTAGATGCTGTTTTGACGTTAGAAAGCCCATGGCAGTTCTCCCCACCTGTTTACTGGTCAGAGTAGGGTTTTTTTTTTTTTGCACATTTTTGTCTTTTAAAAATTCGGCGTATTTTTCCTCAAATCACCGAAAAAAACGGTCGTTTAATACGGCCCGTTTTTTTCGGTTGCCGTATTTTTGCACCTTGCCGCTACCCGACGCGTCGGGTAACATTTCGGGTAGCGGGTATTGATACCCGCCCCGGGTAACCCGGACCCGACCCGCCGGGTAATTTTCAGGATTTCCGATACCCGACCCGCCTAAAAGCGGGTCCGGGTACCGGGTACCCGACCCGGGCGGGTAGTTTGCTCAACCCTAGATGCGATATTGCATGCATCGCATCGCATTTTGACCATGTCTAGCGCACTGCAACAAGATACTGAATGCATTCAGGGCATGTCAATGTGTTATGGAACAGGGGGAAAAGGAGTCAGTAAGTTAAAATGATGGAATTGAACGGGAGCTGAGGTATTGTTGCAAGGGGCAGTAGCTCTTCTAGCCCAGTGACTCACAACTCAGTCAAATCTCTAAGGTTGCCGATTGACCCTGGTATCGAACCAGAAAGTTGATTCTGTGAGAGGCTTCTGCATTTTTTGTAAAAAACAAGTGTCAATTAAAGAAAGGCAATGGAGGAGGGCGGGGGGGAAGGGGTGGGGGGGGGGGGGGGTGGGGGGGAGACCATGAGCATGGACAGAGTCGAGCCGAGTCAGACCTGAGTCAAGCCAAAATCGGGTCGAGTCACAATCGAGTCGGGAGGCTGAGGGTTGAGGCTCGTGGCTCAGGTTTTGGTGGCCGAGTCACCTTTGACTCGACCAAGTCAGAGATTGACTTGGTCGAGTCGAGTCAAATCTCGACTCGTTTTGGGTGGGGTGAGGGGGGGGGAGGGGGGGGGGGGCGTGGGTCTGCAGCCAGATGCATTCCTGGTTAGGCATGAGCAGGAGGCGAGTCGAGCCTCGACTCGTCCGAGTCGGATCCGAGTCGAGCCAATTCCGGGTCGAGTCGGACCCCCCAGGATTCTGACTCGAGACTCGAGTGGGAGGCGAGTCGGGCCTGAATTGGGCGAGTCAGGACCTGACTCAGCCCGAGTCGAGTTTGACTCAACTCGGTTTAGTTAATAGGGAATTTCCTAGATATACGCTCGGCTGGGCAGGGCGAAAAAGGTATGGGCCAGGCGTGAGGTGAGTGTAGGAGGTGCAGTAGTTGCCGCTCTAGAGTTGCGCACCGTGAAATTAGGGCTTGGGAATGTCGTGTGTTCCCTCTCTTGGATAAAGGAGAGAGTGGGGGGAGGTTGGGTTTCCTAGTTGAAAAAACAACCGACTCGACCGACTCGACTCGACTTGACTCGGGGTCGAGTCGGAGGAGCAAAAAAAAAACTCGACTCACCAAAAGGCGAGCCGAGCTGACGAGTCGAGCCATAAACTTGACTCGTTTGCTCATGCCTAGCTTGAACCCAGCCGAACAGAGCCTTTTTTGTGTAACCGGCTCGAACCGAGCCTAGCCGAGTCAATCCACCGGCTCGGCGCTGCTCGATTCTTAAATTTGCTTAAATTTGCATTCGCCCGTAGACCATCCTCACGCTTCAACCATCAATGAGACCTCACCTAGGTACCTGTGCAGCCTAGCTGAGCAAGCTCGAGGCCGTTTGGCAAGCCGAGCCGGAAAAATCGTGCAACCGGCTCGATCAGGCTTGGCTCGGCTCGGCTCGCGCTCTTGCCCATTGACGGTAAACCTGTATGGTGTATCCGTTTATATTTTATTGCCTTTGGCATGAATAGTATTGTACTTATTTTTTCATCTCACTGTAGGAGGTGCAACGAGTTCTGTCATCTCTTGCTCGTAAAACTTGGGATCTTGCCCTTTCTATTAGAAATATTTTCTTTCGATATTTCAAAGGATGCACCTGTAATCACATAAGCTCTTTTACAAGGCCCGAGCCAGATGGTCAGCGCGTCGAGGCAATGTCAGAATGTCCACCCTTCGATAGCCAAGCGGAGCCAGCTCAACACGAGCCAATCTAAGCAACTACCCGAACTCAACTCCCTGCCTAGACAGTGGCTCACATCACATGTCCAACAAAGAATGCCACTCACAAGGTACGAAGATTTGTAAGGTCTGAGATGGAGTCAGGAATCGTGCTCCTCAAGTTATTGTAGTGAAGTTGTCTGAAGAGGGAACAACAGAGGAGACACAAATGGAGAGGGATTCACAGACATTGTGTGTAAGATCGACAATTATTTATAAACACGTGTATCTTGAATACTTCCCTCTTGCTTGTCTTCTCTGCTACACCTACCAGTTGGCAATGAATAAGGATTCGAATGGTCCACACGCGGCGCATGGATCGCCCCACCATCGACCAACCAATATATCCATGGTCGGTAGAAACGCATCAAGCATCGTTGCCTCATCACTTGGAAGCAGGTGAAGAAAGCAACCTTTATCATCGACGACAACTTGCCATAGTATAGCATCAACGGATAATGAATCTGAAAATGGCCGTGTTGTTAGGTTGTTGCACAAATTTGAAGAACAGGTTGTTGTACTGATTGTAAGAAATTCTCCATTCCTTACCGAGCGGTACTGCTATCGCGTACGCTGGAACTCATGCGAAGCCTCGGGTTGGCTCCAGAATTTTCCGCCCGAACCACCTCGGATTTTTCAGACCTTCGAGTTCGACCTTTCGGAGTTCTCCAGGCCTCGTCACTTCGATACCCTTTGATCTCCTTCCGGAACCATCGCATCTCATGGCTAGGATAGCTCTGGTGTTCCTATATCTTGGCAATTCAACATTAATTTCCGCACTACTCTGCTTGTTCACTCATAACAATAACTCTGGAGAGAAAAGCGATTGCATTTGCGGGAGCTTAAAGGAAGCCAAGGGGAGAAAGCTAGAAAGCATGTGTTGAAGATTAAACAGTACATCATGGAAAACGTTGTTCAGTCACTCAAAAGAATCTAGGACGAGATAACACAACAAAACAAAACATACAGTTTCAGGAATAAACAGCTACATAAGACCTCTATAGTAAAGAACGTACATCAATTGCAGCAATGTGGTCGATGCCCACTAGTTTTTGTCACGTACGTCTTATTTTTGTTATTTTCTGTTTGTTTTCCAGCAATTCTTTGGAAGCGTGACTTTTGGTACGGTTCCTACCATTATTGTGCAAAGTCCATGACAACGCACTGCATAATCCCAGTTCATGCAGCCTGACAGTTGGAGCTCCAAGAGCAAGCTATGCTCGTTTGCCTAGAACAATAGTTGTGGATGGATGGATGTGGCTTGAAATTGAATGAATAACGAATTGCGGTCACATGTGAAAGGGAGTCACTACGGAAATGCGATCTAAAAACACTCACAGGTATGTCAGGCTGCGCATGCGGCCAATAGTAGATGGAATGGATCCTGCCAGGCCAATTGCAGATAGATCCCTGAAGGGTTGTTACAAGGATGACATGATGAGGGAATGTTTTAGTAAGGGAGAACGAGAGGACAGAACAAGGGCGGATAATAGATGGTTACGAGTGCGAACAGTGTGGGACAATGACTAGTCGACAGCTGGTACAAATATTAGTGGCTACAAACGCTCTGGCAGACACGTGTCTAGCGTTCAAACGCTTGCGTTTGAACGCAAACGCCAAACGCACCCAAAAACGCAAACGCTCTCTGGGATATTTTTCGGGCTGCCCCCCCCAAAAAAAACACAAGATTGTCGTTGGAGAATAGCATTAAGGATAGGTGATTTACATGACATATGAGGATGCTGGCTTAAATGTTAAGCACGGTTCTTTTTTATGAGACAAAATGCTTGCTGGTAGAGCCCCCATGTTTCCCCCCTCCCCCACAAGAATCTTGAACCCCTGCCTGGGTAAAAATTTTACCCCTGCCCAGGCAAGTGTTTGCCTAGCGTTCACATACACACTGCCGAGCGTTTAGCGTTCAAACGCTAGCGTTCAAACGCCAAACGCGTTTGTAGTAACTAAGGTACAAATTACATGCTCATATGCCACTCTGTAACCGAAAAGATTGTGTGTCGAATAAGGCCAAATACCAGCAGAACACGAGTTGATATTGAGTTGTGTGTCGTGTTGACTGTTGCCGCTTCAAAGACCAAGTCATCCTGCCTTGGCGCTAGGCTTGAGCATAAACCCAACCCGACTTTGCCCTATCCGATGTCGGGTTCGGGTCGGTCCGGGTCGGGTCAAGTCGGGTCGGAGTTCAGGAAATGTCAACCCGACCTGGGTTTAATAGTCGGGTACTACCTGACCTGATTTTGGGTCGGGTCGGGTCGGGTTGGCTTAGTGGCAGGGACGGGTAATAAGCCGACCCGTCAAAAATTCGGGTTCGGGTCGGGTAACCCGACCCGACCCGACCCGTTGCTCAAGCCTACTTTGCGCTGTCTTACTATTGGTCACATTCTCTAGGTTGGCAACCTCCCTTCATCTGTACTCTACTCTAGGGTTCTTCAATGACGCTCGCAGGTGTAATGTAAGCGTGCATTTCCTATGTGTGGTTCATATCAGGATACAGTGCTAGCTTTTCGATCGCCAACCCCAGGTTCCCCTGTGTTTGGCCTAACTTCCCCCACACCACCCCAACTTCGCACCAGACCAATTTCCTTGTCAATACCCCCCCCCCCCCCACCCCCCCCTCTCCCTGCCCCCATCCTAGGGTTGAGCAAACTACCCGACCGGGTCGGGTACCCGGTACCCGGACCCGCTTTTAGGGCGGGTCGGGTATCGGAAATCCTGAAAATTACCCGGCGGGTCGGGTCCGGGTTACCCGGGCCGGGTATCAATACCCGCTACCCGAAATGCTACCCGACGTGTCGGGTAACGGGTACCCGACCCGGTCGGGTAAAAAAATACCCGAGGTCGGGTATTCCACCTAGACATGGGCGTAAGTCGCGCTGTGTTTTAGGTTTTGGGGCAAAACGGTTTTGGAGGTGAGAGGGGACGAGTGGAGCATTTGTGAGATGTTGGAGTTTGTAGATGGGGAGGAGTTAACTGCGGTGAAAGGGAGGGAGTTGGGTGGGAGTTGGAGAAAAGGTTGGAGTTTGTAGATGGGTAGGAGTTCAGTGCGGTGAAAGGGAGGGAGTTGGGTGGGAGTTGGAGAAGAGGTTGGAGTTTGTAGATGGGTAGGAGTTCAGTGCGGTGAAAGGGAGGGAGTTGGGTGGGTTGTTAAAGAAGAGGTTGGAGTTTGTAGATGGGTAGGAGTGCAGTGCGGTGAAAGGGAGGGAGTTGGGTGGGAGTTGGAGAAGAGGTTGGAGTTTGTAGATGGGTAGGAGTTCAGTGCGGTGAAAGGGAGGGAGTTTTCTTGGAAAGGTTGGAGTTTGTAGACAGGGAGGAGTTCAGTGCGGTGAATGGGAGGGAGTTTGGTTGGAAATTGGAGTTTGTAGACGGGGAGGAGTTCAGTGCGGTGAAAGGGAGGGAGTTGGGTGGTCAAAATTCGACCCCCAGAAAACGCGACTCTCATTTGAGAGTCGCGTTTCCAGGAACCCTACCTAGCCTAGCCCAACTTTAGGATGCCCACTAGTAGGTGGCGGGTTGTATTACCCGCTTTTCAGGGTAACCGGGTCGGGTATACCCGGACCCGCCAGGCGGGTATTGTATTACCCGTCCCCTTAAGGCCGGGTCCGGGTAAGGGTCCTGGGCATATTACCTGACCCGGACCCGAAATTACCCGACCCGAAATTACCCGACCCGAGGTCGGGTATTGCAAAACCGGGTCGGGTCGGGTAATTACCCGGTTTTGCTCAAGCCTACCCCATCCTCTACCCCCCCATCCTCTTCCCCCTTCTCTCCCCCAGCCCATCAATGCTCTAACCGACTTGTATTCGCTTTGCACTGCACGTATGAGTGGTATTCGAATACTCCCCTACTCATTTACACAGAATACGTGTCCATGTGGATGTCGTGGGAGAATGAGTACAGAGAAATGCAGTTGAGAAAAAAAGTCAGTAGGATGAATCATCATACTCGTCAAAAGACTCACAAATCTGTCAGATTTGGAAGGTTGCCTAATGATGCCGGTATCGAGCCAGATATCGGGTTCCTCCATAGGTATCTGCATGCCACCAGATGCGAAGAAAAACCACCAAAAGTCTAGTTACCACATGCTTCCTAACCAACGAACTTACAGACAGACAGGCGGGCAGGGCTTCTACTATCTATACCAAGCAGCAGCGCCCACGCTTGTTTAAGGGTTAAAAAAACATGTGAGTAGGCTAAGCAGAAAGTGTATGAATATGGATAGAACATAAGTAGCATGCATAGCTCGTGGCCTGATCAGATCAAGGGAGCTCCGATGGATGCAACGCAACAAAACTGAGCATGAAGGGTCTGGCTTTGGCTGTGGTCTGGCCATGGATTGCATGTCAGCTCAATGGCTCACTCCACTTACAAGAGGCGCAGATTTGTGAGCTTGCTAATGGAGTCAGGAATTGTGCCCCCCAAGTTGTTGTTGTCAAGTTTCCTGACGACATAACAGTGGAGGGTGAGCATGTAGCTCGCTAGAGCACTGGAGACCATATTATAAAAATGGAGAGAGACAGACAGATGCCGCTTGCTTTACAATGTAATAGGCTGCTTTTCTCCCTAGTGCGGTGAGCGGCAATAAGAGAAGAAGCAGAGAGTTGGGAAGCAGAAGCTGGACAGCAGCTACTGTCAGGCAGTGACACACTAGCACAGACAAGAGTAAAAGAAATGTTGAAAAAGCCTCTTTAAACACTCGAAAACTGCAGAACTCATTGGACACGGAAGAAATCTGAGAGTAGGCATGAGCATGAGTCGAGTCAAATCAGACTCGAGTCGAGTCAGGTCTCAAGTCAGGCATGTGTGACTTGTTCCGCTGTGGCTGAGTCGTGCTGATTTCTGATATGCATGATGGTTTCAAAGTAAGTGGGTGCAGAAGAAGAGTGCGGGAGTTAGGCATGAGCATGGACCGAGTCGAGTCGAGTCAGACCTGAGTCGAGCCAAAATCAAGTCGAGTCACAACCGAGTCAGACCCGAGTCGGAGGCTGAGGGTTGAGACTCGTGACTCGGGTTTTGGGCGCCGAGTCACCCTGGGCCTGAACTAGAAATCCAGCCCGGCTTAAAAGCCTGGGTGAGGTCGGCTCAATCCCACCCGACAGATCATTCTCGCATGCCCAGATGAGAGATGCAGCTCTGAAATGTCATTTTCTTAACCTCCACCAGTGAAAACTAGGCATGAGCAGAGGGCCGGCCCGTCCCGTCATGATCACTGGGAAAATTCGTTGGAGTCCCCCAGCGTTTTGCGTGAATTCGTAAGCGCAAATTCGCGTTTGCGAATTTACCTGAAATTCCGAAACGCTGGGGGAAAATTTCCGGGCAGCCTGGACAAAAAAACGTGAATTTTCCCACTCGATTCGCGACGACTTGGCGAAGCCATCCGTGGCCTTGCCAAATCGCGATTCTAACTTTTGAACCTCCAAACATGCTCCCAACCCTCCCACACTCCCAACCGCATCAAACCCCACCGCATCTAGATAACCCAACCCATCCACCACCCAACACAACTTCCGCAACTATATCACGCATCTCACACACTACTCTACCAGACGTAGAGTAGATCTAGCTAATCACTCCGCGTCCTAGCTAGTAGATCTAGTTTAAGCATAGACATTAGCTTACCTCACGAATATGGTTCATGATGTTGCTGTAGGTTGCTGCAGGGCTGTTATTGCGAAGGATCCCCCCCAAACTCTAGAACATGCTATTGCCATAAACTTTGAGAAGCAATATTTATTTTGTGCTAAAACTTTCTTGCTAAAAAAGAGTTGCCCTGAAACCCCCCACGTCCCCCCTACCTGGCTCGGCTCGGCTCCGCTCGCCTTAAAGGCGAACCGAGCCTTTTTTTTTGGTACCCGGCTCGACTCGAGCCAAGCCGGCTCGGCTCGACTCGAGCCGGCGGCTCGGCTCGGCTCGCGCACGTAAAATCAGGCGAGCCGGAGTTGATCCAGCTCGAGCAGGATCGATTTCGATCCAGCCGGCTCACGGCTTGGGAAAGGGGGTCAAATTTCAGATCGACAACCCCCCCCTTCCCCGCCCCCCCCCCCCCAATATTGTCTGCCAACCCTTCCTAACCTCACCCTGTCGCGCTAGTCTATCGACCTCAGCCAGCCAAATTTAAACCGGCAGCTCCTCCTCATAGTTTTGTAAGATGCAGAAGCAGACGCTCAGCTTAACAATCTGGATTATCCCCTATACTAGAGACCCCAAACCCCGTTGCCCCAGTTGAGAGCCCACACAAGCCCCCCTGACGAGCCGGCGAGCCGACCCGGGCTCGACCCCATTTTACGAGCCGAGCCGGGGATCCTGAGTAGACATGGGCAGCATGCCGAGCCTGGCTCGACTCGGCTCGACTGGAACTCGAGCCAGGTAAAAGTCGAGCCGAGCCGACTCGGTTCGACTCGAGCCGGCTGCCCCAAAAAGGTTGGCTCGACTCGGGGGTTCAGGGTCTAGCCAAGGGTCGGCTCGACTTTGGCTCGGCTCGGCTCGACTCGCCAAAAGGGTTTCTTCTGCAGGTTTTGAAAAGGTCTTGCTAGATCGCTGTAAAGGTTCTGCAGGTTAAGGTCCCTAAGCCCTTACATCCTTCCTACAGCACCAAAAGGTAGTCGAAAAGAATATGAAGTAGCGGTGTTGGTGGAGAGAGGGCAAGCTAGGGTGGTGAAATAGCTCAGATGTACGCTTAGGCTCGATGGCGAAAACCTAGAATGGATAGTCAACTTCCAGGGGGGTCGAATTTTGACCCCCTATAGGCGAGCCACGCGCTTCGGGAGTCGAGCCGAGCCACGCGGCTCGATCGGCTCGACCCGGCTCAACTCAGGGCGAGCCGGCCAAAAAAAAAAAGCCAGCTCGACTCGCCTTTTTGGCGAGTCGAGCGGGGTCGAGCCGAGCTTGGCTCGGCATGCTGCCCATGTCTAATCCTGAGGACCCGGCTCGAGGCGAGCCGAGCCAGCTCGGCTCGACCCCAAATGATCCGAGCCGAGCTTGGCCCATGTCTACTTGGGGGGTCGGGGGGCAAGGTCGACCTCCGCTCGCAACTCGGCCGATTCAACTCAACTCGAGCTGGCGGGCCGCAAACAGTGACTTGACTCATCTGCAGCTAGGCATGCCGCATGAGTCGAGGCTCGACTACCCGAATCTGCTATGAGACGAACGAGACAGGTGTGAACTCTTGAGTTGTGCCGAATCAGGTCTCGCCCGAGGCGAGGCAAGACTTCTGACATGTGGTCTCCTCGGTCGACGCCAGATCCACGCGGATCGGCAGTTGAAAAGCTCCGATCCGCGCATCTCAGGCGGCGAAACGCCATCGGCCTAGTTGAATCTGACTTGAGTTAGAACTCGGGACTCATCCGACTCTGACTTGAATCGAGTCGAGTCTGGGCTGCGGTGCGGGTCTCCGACAAGTTTGCTTATGCATATCAGATAACGTGGCAATATAATGACCTAAAATCCAGTTGCGACTAGACATGATCAAAATGCGATTGCGATTTAAATCGCATCGCATGCAGGTGCGATGTTTAAAAAAGCGATGCGATTTTAAATCGCATCGCGCGATTTATTTTTCAAAAAAAAAAAAATCGCACATCGCATTTTACCCGCGACGTATTAATAAATCGCATGCGATATTTAATTAAATCGCAAAATGCGATTTTAAATCGCATCGCGATTTAAAACAGAAATAAAAAACACCCCAAAAAAACAGAAAAAAACCATGGCTGCGGGGAAATTGACTCACGGGCAGTCGTAAGCTAGAGTGCAAATAACCAGCGTGGTTTCGTAGTGGGTTTCAGAGTGGGTTTCAGTGCAATATCGCGCGTGATTTTTAAAAAATCGCATATCGCATTTAAATCGCGTTTTTTAAGCGCGATTAAAATGCGATTTAAATTAAATCGCGCGATATTAATTCATCGCATCGCGCGATGATTAAAAAAAAAAAAAAAACATCGCCATCGCAAAAACGCGATTAAATGCGATGCGATGCGATGCGATGCGATGCGATGCGATTTTTTTTGCCCATGTCTAGTTGCGACCAATAGGGTGAAGGAGAACATGAACGAGTAGTTTGAAGGAAAAGGAGATTGCTACTTGCGGATGCTCACAAGCTTGTCATGCGGAACAAGTTGCCAATGGTCGGCGGAACTGGGCCGGTTAACGCGCTTGATTCTAGATTCCTGGTGGCACACGAGATAGATCCATTTGTATAACAGTCAAGAGTTGTTACAAGGGGTAACAATGGGCTACCAGTAACTTCTATGGAAATGACGAAATTCATAAAATCGAATTCTTGAGTGACAACTGAGAGTTCTGAGGGACTGAGGGACAATAAGGTGAGAGAATTGAGAGATGGGGGGAGGGCGGGAGCGAGGAGGTGAGCGGTGTAGAGGGAACGCGGGGGGGGGGGGGGGGGGGGGGGGGTGGGGGTGGGGGGAGGGGGCGTGGGAGAGGGGTGAAGGTGGAAAGAAGCGTTCGGAGAAGCAGGGAAGTACATAATGAGCTTGATGCTCTATTCTACCAAGGGATAGAGAGTGCAGACTGGAGGCTGGGAAGGGTGAGAGGGGGGAAGGGGGAAGGGGGTGCGGGGGAGGGAATGGGGTCAATATATCCTAGCCCTGCATGCTAAGGTTTCACTCACATCGCTGTGATCATGCCTTGGGCATCGCAGGTGACATTGCTTGCATTGCTGCAGTCCCCACCAACCGTCCAGCCTTCAATCGTTGTGTTCCACGCCTTCTGACAGTCCAGCAGGACTTGCGCTGGGAGGCGGGAGGGGAAGGCCGAAGTGGCAGGTTACAAGGACGAGCGACGACGAAATGAAAATGCGGGCAACACTGAATTGAGCAGCGGTCCTGTTTCCTAATCTTCACTAGAAAGGAGCTGTGCCTCTCCTCTCCCATGGGCCATGTCTCCTCTCCCATGTCTCCTCTCCCATGTCTCCTTCCCCATGTCTCCTCTCCCATCTCTCCTCTCCCATCTCTCCTCTCCCATGTCTCCTCTCCCATGTCTCCTCTCCCATGTCTCCTCTCCCATGTCTCCTCTCCCATGTCTCCTCCCCCATGTCTCCTCTCCCATGTCTCCTCTCCCATGTCTCCTCCCCCATGTCTTCTCTCCCATGTCTCCTCCCCCATGCCTCCTCTCCCGTGTCTCCTCTCCCATGTCTCCTCTCCCATGTATCCTCCCCCATGTCTCCTCTCCCATGTCTCCTCTCCCATGACTCCTCTCCCATGTCTCCTCTCCCATGTCTCCTCTCCCATGTCTCCTCTCCCATGTCTCCTTCCCCATGTCTCCTCTCCCATCTCTCCTCTCCCATCTCTCCTCTCCCATGTCTCCTCTCCCATGTCTCCTCTCCCATGTCTCCTCTCCCATGTCTCCTCTCCCATGTCTCCTCCCCCATGTCTCCTCTCCCATGTCTCCTCTCCCATGTCTCCTCCCCCATGTCTTCTCTCCCATGTCTCCTCCCCCATGCCTCCTCTCCCGTGTCTCCTCTCCCATGTCTCCTCTCCCATGTATCCTCCCCCATGTCTCCTCTCCCATGTCTCCTCTCCCATGACTCCTCTCCCATGTCTCCTCTCCCATGTCTCCTCTCCCATGTCTCCTCTCCCATGTCTCCTCTCCCATGTCTCCTCTCCCATGTCTCCTCTCCCATGTCTCCTCTCCCATGTCTCCTCTCCCATGTCTCCTCTCCCATGTCTCCTCTCCCGTGTCTCCTCTCCCATGTCTCCTCCCCCATGTCTTCTCTCCCATGTCTCCTCCCCCATGCCTCCTCTCCCGTGTCTCCTCTCCCATGTCTCCTCTCCCATGTATCCTCCCCCATGTCTCCTCTCCCATGTCTCCTCTCCCATGTCTCCTCTCCCATGTCTCCTCTCCCATGTCTCCTCTCCCATGTCTCCTCTCCCATGTCTCCTCTCCCATGTCTCCTCTCCCATGTCTCCTCTCCCGTGTCTCCTCTCCCATGTCTCCTCCCCCATGTCTCCTCTCCCATGTCTCCTCTCCCATGTCTCCTCCCCCATGTCTTCTCTCCCATGTCTCCTCCCCCATGCCTCCTCTCCCGTGTCTCCTCTCCCATGTCTCCTCTCCCATGTTTCCTCCCCCATGTCTCCTCTCCCATGTCTCCTCTCCCATGTCTCCTCTCCCATGTCTCCTCTCCCGTGTCTCCTCTCCCATGTCTCCTCTCCCATGTCTCCTCTCCCATGTCTCCTCTCCCATGTCTCCTCTCCCATGTCTCCTCTCCCATGTCTCCTCTCCCATATCTCCTCTCCCATGTCTCCTCCCCCATGTCTCCTCTCCCATGTCTCCTCCCCCATGTCTCCTCTCCCATGTCTCCTCTCCCATGTCTCCTCCCCCATGTCTCCTCCCCCATGTCTCCTCCCCCATGTCTCCTCTCCCATGTCTCCTCTCCCATGTCTCCTCTCCCATGTCTCCTCTCCCATGTCTCCTCTCCTCTCATGTCTCCTCTCCCATGTCTCCTCTCCCATGTCTCCTCTCCCATGTCTCCTCTCCCATGTCTCCTCTCCCATGTCTCCTCTCCCATGTCTCCTCTCCCATGTCTCCTCTCCCATCTCTCCTCTCCCATGTCTCCTCTCCCGTGTCTCCTCTCCCATGCCTCCTCCCCCATGTCTCCTCTCCCATGTCTCCTCTCCCATGTCTCCTCCCCCATGTCTTCTCTCCCATGTCTCCTCCCCCATGCCTCCTCTCCCGTGTCTCCTCTCCCATGTCTCCTCTCCCATGTTTCCTCCCCCATGTCTCCTCTCCCATGTCTCCTCTCCCATGTCTCCTCTCCCATGTCTCCTCTCCCATGTCTCCTCTCCCATGTCTCCTCTCCCATGTCTCCTCTCCCATGTCTCCTCTCCCATGTCTCCTCTCCCATGTCTCCTCTCCCATGTCTCCTCTCCCATGTCTCCTTCCCCATGTCTCCTCTCCCATCTCTCCTCTCCCATCTCTCCTCTCCCATCTCTCCTCTCCCATGTCTCCTCTCCCATGTCTCCTCTCCCATGTCTCCTCTCCCATGTCTCCTCCCCCATGTCTCCTCTCCCATGTCTCCTCTCCCATGTCTCCTCCCCCATGTCTCCTCTCCCATGTCTCCTCCCCCATGCCTCCTCTCCCGTGTCTCCTCTCCCATGTCTCCTCTCCCATGTTTCCTCCCGCATGTCTCCTCTCACATGTCTCCCCTCCCATGTCTCCTCTCCCATGTCTCCTCTCCCATGTCTCCTCTCCCATGTCTCCTCTCCCATGTCTCCTCTCCCATGTCTCCTCTCCCATGTCTCCTCTCCCATGTCTCCTCTCCCATGTCTCCTCTCCCATGCTCCTCTCCCTTCTCTCCCATCTCTCCTCTCCCATGTCTCCTCTCCCATGTCTCCTCTCCCATGTCTCCTCCCCCATGTCTCCTCTCCCATGTCTCCTCTCCCATGTCTCCTCTCCCATGTCTCCTCCCCCATGTCTCCTCTCCCATGTCTCCTCCCCCATGCCTCTCTCCCTGTCTCCTCTCCCATGTCTCCTCTCCCATGTTTCCTCCCCCATGTCTCCTCTCCCATGTCTCCTCTCCCATGTCTCCTCTCCCATGTCTCCTCTCCCATGTCTCCTCTCCCATGTCTCCTCTCCCATGTCTCCTCTCCCATGTCTCCTCTCCCATGTCTCCTCTCCCATGTCTCCTCTCCCATGTCTCCTCTCCCATGTCTCCTCTCCCATGTCTCCTCTCCCCATGTCTCCTCTCCCATGTCTCCTTCTCCCATGTCTCCCTCTCCTCCCCATGTCTCCTCTCCCCATGTCTCCCTCTCCCATGCTCCTCCTTCTCCTATGTCTCCTCTCCCATGTCTCCTCCCTTCCCTATGCCCCTCTCCTCCTCCCCATGTCTCCTCTCCCATGTCTCCTCTCCATGTCTCTCTCCCATGTCTCCTCCTCTCCCATGTCCTCCTCTCCCCATGTCTCCTCTCCCATGTCTCCTCCCCATGTTCTTCCTCTCCCCGTGCCTCCTCTCCCGTGTCTCCTCTCCCATGTCTCCTCTCCCATGTCTCCTCCCCCATGTCTTCTCTCCCATGTCTCCTCCCCATGCTCTCTCCCGTGTCTCCTCTCCCATGTCTCCTCTCCCATGTCTCCTCTCCCATGTCTCCTCTCCCATGTCTCCTCTCCCATGTCTTCCTCTCCCATGTCTCCTCTCCATGTCTCCTCTCCCATGTCTCCTCTCCCATGTCTCCTCTCCATGTCCTCCCCTCTCCCCATGTCTCCTCTCCCGTGTCTCCTCTCCCATGTCTCCTCCCCATGTCTCCTCTCCCATGTCTCCCTCTCCCCATGTCTCCTCCCCCATGTCTCCTCTCTCCATGTCTCCTCCCCATGCTCCTCTCCCGTGTCTCCTCTCCCATGTCTCCTCTCCCATGTCTCCTCCCCATGTCTCCTCTCCCATGTCTCCTCTCCCATGTCTCCTCTCCCATGTCTCCTCTCCCTTCTCCTCTTTCCCCATGTCTCCTCTCCCATGTCTCCTCTCCCATGTCTCCTCTCCCATGTCTCCTCTCCCATGTCTCCTCTCCCATGTCTCCTCTCCCCATATCTCCTCTCCCATGTCTCCTCCCCCATGCCTCCTCTCCCTGTCTCCTCCCCCATGTCTCCTCTCCCATGTCTCCTCTCCCATGTCTCCCCCCATGTCTCCTCCTCCCATGTCTCCTCTCCCATGTCTCCTCTCCCATGTCTCCTCTCCCATGTCTCCTCTCCCATGTCTCCTCTCCTCTCATGTCTCCTCTCCCATGTCTCCTCTCCCATGTCTCCTCTCCCATGTCTCCTCTCCCATGTCTCCTCTCCCATGTCTCCTCTCCCATCTCTCCTCTCCCATGTCTCCTCTCCCATGTCTCCTCTCCCATGTCTCCTCTCCCATGTCTCCTCTCCCATGTCTCCTCTCCCATGTCTCCTCCCCCATGTCTCCTCTCCCATGTCTCCTCTCCCATGTCTCCTCCCCCATGTCTTCTCTCCCATGTCTCCTCCCCCGTGCCTCCTCTCCCGTGTCTCCTCTCCCATGTCTCCTCTCCCATGTCTCCTCCCCCATGTCTTCTCTCCCATGTCTCCTCCCCCATGCCTCCTCTCCCGTGTCTCCTCTCCCATGTCTCCTCTCCCATGTATCCTCCCCCATGTCTCCTCTCCCATGTCTCCTCTCCCATGTCTCCTCTCCCATGTCTCCTCTCCCATGTCTCCTCTCCCATGTCTCCTCCCATGTTCCTCTCCCATCTCCTCTCCCATGTCTCCTCTCCCATGTCTCCTCTCCCGTGTCTCCTCTCCCATGTCTCCTCCCCCATGTCTCCTCTCCCATGTCTCCTCTCCCATGTCTCCTCCCCCATGTCTTTCTCTCCCATGTCTCCTCCCCCATGCCTCCTCTCCCGTGTCTCCTCTCCCATGTCTCCTCTCCATGTTTCCTCCCCCATGTCTCCTCTCCCATGTCTCCTCTCCATGTCTCCTCTCCCATGTCTCCTCTCCCGTGTCTCATCTCCCATGTCTCCTCTCCATGTCTCCTCTCCCATGTCTCCTCTCCCATGTCTCCTCTCCCATGTCTCCTCTCCCATGTCTCCTCTCCCATATCTCCTCTCCCATGTCTCCTCCCCCATGTCTCCTCTCCCATGTCTCCTCTCCCATGTCTCCTCTCCCATGTCTCCTCTCCCGTGTCTCTCTCCCATGTCTCCTCCCCCATGTCTCCTCTCCCATGTCTCCTATCCCATGTCTCCTCCCCATGTCTTCTCTCCATGTCTCCTCCCCCATGCCTCCTCTCCCGTGTCTCCTCTCCCATGTCTCCTCTCCCATGTTTCCTCCCCCATGTCTCCTCTCCCATGTCTCCTCTCCCATGTCTCCTCTCCCATGTCTCCTCTCCCGTGTCTCCTCTCCCATGTCTCCTCTCCCATGACTCCTCTCCCATGTCTCCTCTCCCATGTCTCCTCTCCCATGTCTCCTCTCCCATGTCTCCTCTCCCATGTCTCCTCTCCCATGTCTCCTCTCCCATGTCTCCTCTCCCATGTCTCCTCTCCCATGTCTCCTCTCCCGTGTCTCCTCTCCCATGTCTCCTCCCCCATGTCTCCTCTCCCATGTCTCCTCTCCCATGTCTCCTCCCCCATGTCTTCTCTCCCATGTCTCCTCCCCCATGCCTCCTCTCCCGTGTCTCCTCTCCCATGTCTCCTCTCCCATGTTTCCTCCCCCATGTCTCCTCTCCCATGTCTCCTCTCCCATGTCTCCTCTCCCATGTCTCCTCTCCCGTGTCTCCTCTCCCATGTCTCCTCTCCCATGTCTCCTCTCCCATGTCTCCTCTCCCATGTCTCCTCTCCCATGTCTCCTCTCCCATGTCTCCTCTCCCATATCTCCTCTCCCATGTCTCCTCCCCCATGTCTCCTCTCCCATGTCTCCTCCCCCATGTCTCCTCTCCCATGTCTCCTCTCCCATGTCTCCTCCCCCATGTCTCCTCCCCCATGTCTCCTCCCCCATGTCTCCTCTCCCATGTCTCCTCTCCCATGTCTCCTCTCCCATGTCTCCTCTCCCATGTCTCCTCTCTCTCATGTCTCCTCTCCCATGTCTCCTCTCCCATGTCTCCTCTCCCATGTCTCCTCTCCCATGTCTCCTCTCCCATGTCTCCTCTCCCATGTCTCCTCTCCCATGTCTCCTCTCCCATCTCTCCTCTCCCATGTCTCCTCTCCCATGTCTCCTCTCCCATGTCTCCTCTCCCATGTCTCCTCTCCCATGTCTCCTCTCCCATGTCTCCTCCCCCATGTCTCCTCTCCCATGTCTCCTCTCCCATGTCTCCTCCCCCATGTCTTCTCTCCCATGTCTCCTCCCCCGTGCCTCCTCTCCCGTGTCTCCTCTCCCATGTCTCCTCTCCCATGTCTCCTCCCCCATGTCTTCTCTCCCATGTCTCCTCCCCATGCCTCCTCTCCGTGTCTCCTCTCCCATGTCTCCTCCCCCATGTCTCCTCTCCCATGTCTCCTATCCCATGTCTCCTCCCCCATGTCTTCTCTCCCATGTCTCCTCCCCCATGCCTCCTCTCCCGTGTCTCCTCTCCCATGTCTCCTCTCCCATGTTTCCTCCCCCATGTCTCCTCTCCCATGTCTCCTCTCCCATGTCTCCTCTCCCATGTCTCCTCTCCCGTGTCTCATCTCCCATGTCTCCTCTCCCATGTCTCCTCTCCCATGTCTCCTCTCCCATGTCTCCTCTCCCATGTCTCCTCTCCCATGTCTCCTCTCCCATATCTCCTCTCCCATGTCTCCTCCCCCATGTCTCCTCTCCCATGTCTCCTCTCCCATGTCTCCTCTCCCATGTCTCCTCTCCCGTGTCTCCTCTCCCATGTCTCCTCCCCCATGTCTCCTCTCCCATGTCTCCTATCCCATGTCTCCTCCCCATGTCTTCTCTCCCATGTCTCCTCCCCCATGCCTCCTCTCCGTGTCTCCTCTCCCATGTCTCCTCTCCCATGTTTCCTCCCCCATGTCTCCTCTCCCATGTCTCCTCTCCCATGTCTCCTCTCCCATGTCTCCTCTCCCGTGTCTCCTCTCCCATGTCTCCTCTCCCATGACTCCTCTCCCATGTCTCCTCTCCCATGTCTCCTCTCCCATGTCTCCTCTCCCATGTCTCCTCTCCCATGTCTCCTCTCCCATGTCTCCTCTCCCATGTCTCCTCTCCCATGTCTCCTCTCCCATGTCTCCTCTCCCGTGTCTCCTCTCCCATGTCTCCTCTCCCGTGTCTCCTCTCCCATGTCTCCTCTCCCATGTTTCCTCCCCCATGTCTCCTCTCCCATGTCTCCTCTCCCATGTCTCCTCCCCCATGTCTTCTCTCCCATGTCTCCTCTCCCGTGTCTCCTCTCCCATGTCTCCTCCCCCATGTCTCCTCTCCCATGTCTCCTATCCCATGTCTCCTCCCCCATGTCTTCTCTCCCATGTCTCCTCCCCCATGCCTCCTCTCCCGTGTCTCCTCTCCCATGTCTCCTCTCCCTTTCCTCCCCCATGTCTCCTCTCCCATGTCTCCTCTCCCATGTCTCCTCTCCCATGTCTCCTCTCCGTGTCTCATCTCCCATGTCTCCTCTCCCATGTCTCCTCTCCCATGTCTCCTCTCCATGTCTCCTCTCCCATGTCTCCTCTCCCATGTCTCCTCTCCCATATCTCCTCTCCCATGTCTCCTCCCCCATGTCTCCTCTCCCATGTCTCCTCTCCCATGTCTCCTCTCCCATGTCTCCTCTCCCGTGTCTCCTCTCCCATGTCTCCTCCCCCATGTCTCCTCTCCCATGTCTCTATCCCATGTCTCCTCCCCCATGTCTTCTCTCCCATGTCTCCTCCCCCATGCTCCTCTCCCGTGTCTCCTCTCCCATGTCTCCTCTCCCATGTTTCCTCCCCCATGTCTCCTCTCCCATGTCTCCTCTCCCATGTCTCCTCTCCCATGTCTCCTCTCCCGTGTCTCCTCTCCCATGTCTCCTCTCCCATGACTCCTCTCCCATGTCTCCTCTCCCATGTCTCCTCTCCATGTCTCCTCTCCCATGTCTCCTCTCCCATGTCTCCTCTCCCATGTCTCCTCTCCCATGTCTCCTCTCCCATGTCTCCTCTCCCATGTCTCCTCTCCCGTGTCTCCTCTCCCATGTCTCCTCCCCATGTCTCCTCTCCCATGTCTCCTCTCCCATGTCTCCTCCCCATGTCTTCTCTCCATGTCTCCTCCCCCATGCCTCCTCTCCCGTTCTCCTCTCCATGTCTCCTCTCCCATGTTTCCTCCCCATGTCTCCTCTCCCATGTCTCCTCTCCCATGTCTCCTCTCTCATGTCTCCTCTCCCGTGTCTCTCTCCCATGTCTCCTCTCCCATGTCTCCTCTCCCATGTCTCCTCTCCCATGTCTCTCTCCCATGTCTCCTCTCCCATGTCTCCTCTCCCATATCTCCTCTCCCATGTCTCCTCCCCCATGTCTCCTCTCCCATGTCTCCTCCCCCATGTCTCCTCTCCCATGTCTCCTCTCCCATGTCTCCTCCCCCATGTCTCCTCCCCATGTCTCCTCCCCATGTCTCTCTCCATGTCTCCTCTCCCATGTCTCTCTCCCATGTCTCCTCTCCCATGTCTCCTCTCCTCTCATGTCTCCTCTCCCATGTCTCCTCTCCCATGTCTCCTCTCCCATGTCTCCTCTCCCATTCTCCTCTCCCATGTCTCCTCTCCCATGTCTCCTCTCCCATGTTCCTCTCCCATCTCTCCTCTCCCATGTCTCCTCTCCCATGTCTCCTCTCCCATGTCTCCTCTCCCATGTCTCCTCTCCCATGTCTCCTCTCCCATGTCTCCTCCCCATGTCTCCTCTCCCATGTCTCCTCTCCCATGTCTCCTCCCCATGTCTTCTCTCCCATGTCTCCTCCCCCGTGCCTCCTTCCCGTGTTCTCCTCTCCCATGTCTCCTCTCCCATGTCTCCTCCCCATGTCTTCTCTCCTCATGTCTCCTCCCCCAGCCTCCTCTCCCGTGTCTCCTCTCCCATGTCTCCTCTCCCATGTATCCTCCCCCATGTCTTCCTCTCCCATGTCTCCTCTCCATGTCTCCTCTCCCATGTCTCCCTCTCCCATGTCTCTCTCCCATGTCTCCTCTCCCATGTCTCCTCTCACCGTCCTCCCATGTCTCCTCTCCGTGTCTCCTCTCCCATGTCTCCTCCCCCATGTCTCCT